AGTAAAAAAACGTTGCGAAAACGTTTTTTTCACAATATTATATTAGAAAAAAATGTTTCGCAACATTTTTTTAAGTTCTTTAATAAAAAAACGTTGCAAAAACGTTTTTTTCACAATATTATTTTAGAAAAAAATATTTCGCAACGTTTTTTTTAATTCTTTAATAAAAAAACGTTGCGAAACATTTTTCTGAAGATAAAGCTCGAGCCTGGCTTGGCTTGAGCCATGAAAATCATGGCTCAGCTCAGCTCACTTTAGCTTGAGCCGAAATTTTTATGACTCGGCTTATTCTGGCTCAGGCCAGAATTTTTTTTTTCGAGCTGAGCCGAGCCAGACTGTGGCTCGGCTCAAGCTGGCTCATGCGGAGCTTTATATACAAAACTAACAAAAGTACATTAGAGGACTAACTGAGACTAAAAAAACAAAATAAACTACTTGTTATTTTCTTACAAAAACTTTACGTATATACAGTCAGGCAGTTATATAGCTATATAAATATAGTTAAGTATAATATGGTGCAGCGCATCTATACTCATCAACAGTTTAAAAATTTATTTTAGGCCGATTTTTACCAAATTAAGTAATAATTTAGCCTTATTTGGTAACATCCCCATTGATCATTGCATGATTTATTAAATTAGATTTACCTGATTGGCTCAAATCGTAATCACGTGGAAAATTGATTCTGAAATTTCACTATTTTACATAGACTTATATAAAAAATACTCCAACTTAAAAAGCTAATAACTTTTAATCTATAAAAGTTAGAGGAAATTAAATCCGATAAAATGAAAGAGAATCCTTTAATCTATAATTGTATCAGTTTACTTTTTCAGTTTAACATAAAATTTTAATGAGTTATTGAAGTTTAAAAATACCCAATTTTCATTTGATGAGTATAGATGCGCCGCACCATAGGACCCCAGACATCACATATATAACTCATAACTGATCTACATGAATTTAGCACTTTTTGCTCCTGCTAAAATAGACCTAATTTGCTAAAAATCAAATTATCACATTTTAAATCTATACTAATTTGCTAAAACTCAAAATATGAGTATAACTTTTTAGCAAATTGGCCTAAATTTCAAAAAAAATCATGTTTTTTGCGATTATTTCAGCATCCAGTAGTCCAATTTATGCGAACTTTTTTTTGTTTTGTAGTCCTTATCAAGCTCTACAAATTAAAAAAAATCTGCATAAATCGGATTACTGGATGCCGAGATAATTGCAAAAAACTGAAAATAAAAAAATGTTGCGAAACTAATCAGACGGTTTTTGGCCTGCATTATGCTTAATTTTGACCAGAATTATACTTAATTTTGGCCAAAATATAGCCCGGACCCCGAAACTAATATTTTTAAAATATTATCAATAAAAGTTAAAAAAAAAGGATAAGTTAAATTCAAAAAAAAGTACCAATTTGCTCAAATATAAAATATGACTTTGTAAAATTAACACAATTTGCTAAAACTTATAATTATGACTTTTAATTAATTTTCAATCAATTTGCTCTATCTAAAATTATGAGTTTAATCTAATTTTAATTGAATTTGCTAAAACTCAAATGTGAGTTATATATGTGATGTCTGGGATCCTAGTATAATCATGAACTTTTTTTTAGCTTTCTGAGTCTTATAGTCTAAACTAAACAAACTACAAAACTAATTCCAATATGGATCACATTATTATTATAAAAACATCAAAAATAAAAAAGTAATATATAAAGTCAAACCCTTCTATAATCCTCACAGGGTTCCTTTACCTATCAGCAAAATCCCATATGAATGGCCAAATTCAATACTTTTCATTTTAGGTCTTGTTTATTAATAAATGTACTTGATCAAAGATAAATACTGTATAAAGAATTAGTATACTTTATAGAGATGGAAATTTGTAAGCATAGAGAAGGCAAAGCTCTTCTAAATTCTAATATCTAAAATCCAATGGCTGTAGTAATTCATCTTAATCCAGTTAAATACATCAGGTAAGACCAAATATGCTTCTAAATAATCTAATATTTTTACTTTTAATGATTATTCTGCTGATCAACTTAAATTAGTAAAAATTAAAAAATAAAATCCACCAATCCCATCAGCTTTTCTAAAATGACCGATCTACATAAATCCAAAAAAGTTAAATAACACTAAACCTTCAGCGCAGATAATCAATATTTCAGTCCTTTTAAAAGAAAAACAAGAGTAAAAATGCTGAAATTTTAGAAAAAAAAAGAAAAAACTAAAAAAAACAAAAAGGAAGTCATAACTTCAGAAAATTCTAAGGGAAAAATTAAGTAAAGAAGATAATAAACACTAAGCCTCCATCTACAACTAAAACCCCTTAAAACGTCAACTGATAATAAAGAAGAAGTCTGCTTTCTAAGTGACTACCTCTACTTCAACTTGTATTTAAAGGAAAAACCTTCACAAAGCTTTTAAAAATAAAGAAACTAACAGGAAACTTTACACTATTGCAGAGTTCAAAATCCAGCCATTTAATATGTAACTGTTACAACTTTTAGAAACCCAGTAAGAGAAAAGTTTTGCAGAAGTAAAATTATCTTTGGTAAAAACTGCTCCATAGTTTTGTAACTTCACCAAAACTTTGAGTTAAAAGCCTGTTTAAGTCTTAAAAGAATTCTTAAAAAGTCTATAAACAATAAAAAAAAGCATTCTACAACCACTCAAGTAAGAAAAACTATATTTTTTTCTTTAGCAACTTCTGCTGGAAAATGGTCAAATGATTGGTAGGTGAAAAATGTAGTCAATCTCCTCCTATATAACTGTTATCTTTACAATATTCTGTTCTTTTAAATTGTACATTTTATTTTGCCAAATTATAACAATATATTTAGAATTTATTATATATTTTGAATATTATTTGTTTTTATATCTAATTTATTTATATAATTAGATCTCTATATAATCACTCTCCATATAAGAACATCTCTTTATAAGCAACTATTTTTGCTTAATCTACATATTATTTTTAGTAATAAATTGACTTCTATATAGTTACAACTTTATATAACCACTGTTTTTTATTAACCAATTAGATGAATATATAGAGATCTAACTATATTTACTAAAATAATAATAATAAATTATTTACTGCAAAATGAAAATAGCTTAGCTAATACATCTACCTGCCAAAAGTATCTGGCACTTTTAAAAAATGACCATTAAATCACATTATCTCGACATCCAATGATCAGAATTTAATGATTTATGATTTATTGGATTCGTCTAATTAAGACGCATCTAACCGCAGTATTTTCAAGTCTGTAGGTTCAATAGATCAAAAGTTATTGTTGAATGTCTAAAAACAGTAAAATGCAAATAACTTTTGATCCATCAATCCTAGAGACATGAAAATAATAGATACAATGTACCTTAAAAAGACAAATCTAATGAGTCATATTTCATCTTACTAGGTTTAATAGGGAAGAAAACATTATGAAATTTGTATTTGCTAAATTTTTAAAGATGAAAAATGAATTATTTGCATTTTACTGTTGAGAATAACATCTGATCCATCAAATTTAAAAACATAAAAATAATGCAATTAGATGCATATTGATAATATGAATTCATTGAATCATAAATAATTAAATTCTGATCACTGGTTATTGAAATAATGTGATTTAACTTTATGAAGTAATTCATTTTTCATATTTAAAAATTTAGCAAATACAAATTTCATAACATTTTCTTCCCTATTAAACCTAGTAAAATGAAATATGACTCATTAGATTTGTCTTGTTAAGGTACATTGTATCTATTATTTTCATGTCTCTAGGATTGATGGATCAAAAGTTATTTGCATTTTACTGTTTTTAGACATTCAATAATAACTTCTGATCTATTGAACCTACAGACTTGAAAATACTGCGGTTAGATGCGTCTCAATTAGACGAATCCAATGAATTATAAATCATTAAATTCTGATCACTGGATGTCGAGATAATGTGATTTAATGGTCATTTTTTAGAAGTGCTGGATACTTTTGGCAGGTGGGTGTATATTAATATTAAATATAAAATAAAAAGTTAAAGTAACAATAAAAATATATAAATCATATATATTTATAAACCTGTTATATTTATTTATTAAGTATATGGCAAATTTATGGATGAATTTATGAATTTTATTTTAAATTTTATTTATTAATAAAAGAAGCTTTCACAAGTACTTTAAAATATATCTTTTTTTCATGATAATTTTTTTAATGAAATATTTTTTAAAAACTGTACAATAAAAATAAGCTGCAATAGATGTAATCATATCGGCTGATTGGAAAATCAAGCCAATTAATATTTAAGCTCAGTTGATATATAACTGATGGGTTACTTATTGTCATTAGCTATGGGGGGCTTTTCTGATCAGCTGATATGTTTTTATTTCGTATTGACTTTAATATAAATTTATATTAAGCAATAATACTATAAAAATATTTGTTTTGCCAAATATCTAGTATAATGGCTGTTACCTATAAACCAATTGTAATTTCTTCAATTTTTTCCTTTACTATTAGTTTATGATTTATAAATTTGAAGTTCAGGCCGCACTTGAAGCTGCTTTTAGAAAATTTCTTTACATATTCCAAATCCTCCTGCATGAGAATTATTTAAAGCATGTCAAATTTTTGATCCTACTTATTTTTATTTTTCGGATGTAAGAATAAAGAATATTAGGAATTATCCTACAGCCAAATAGGATCATGCTTTTTTCATCATGCTGATATTTTTTATTAAGCTATAAATAGACTACATTGCATAATTATTATTGATATTTTTGACGTTGTATTTATAAGATGATCATTGGCGACTGCAGAATAACACAGTTATTTGATAGGGGTGTTAAAATATCATCCGAACTGCTGCAGTTCGGTGATATTCTAACCCCCCTATCAAACAACTAATATTTATTCATACAAAATGATGAAAATTTTCCAAATTTGTCAAATGGTTTTTTAAAAAATCACAATATTTTGCAATTAAAAACTAAAAAAACTGTACAAATTCTGGATTAATATTATTTATTATATGTAACCGTCTAAAGTTATTAATTTAATTACAATATAATTATTTTATATAATTATAATTAATCATTGAGCAAATACACAGTGTAAATTTTATCTAATCTTAGGTAATATCAGGCTTTTTAGGTTACATTAATATGGAGTCAATTCTTTAGTGATTATGTATATTAAAATAAATAAATAAGATTTTATTAAATGTCCAAATGCTTGACTTTTTCCCATGGAAACTATTAAAAGTATTTCTTATTAATAAAAATATTTTGGAATGATCAACAAATAAATGCATAATAATTTACCTCTTCACGACCAAAATGTCCATAAGCGGCAGTTTGTTCATAACTCCAACCACTTGGTTTATGAAGACCAAGTTGTTGTACAATAACACCTGGTTTCAAATTAAAGTTCTTTTTAATAATGTTCAATATCTCGGATTCTTTTATAGTTGAAGTACCGTAGGTATCAACAAAGATAGAAAGGGGTTCAGCAACTCCAATAGCATAAGAAAGTTGAACCAATACGCGACGCGCCAACTTAGCCGCAACGAGAGATTTGGCAATCCAGCGAGCTGAATGAAATAAAACCACATAAATCGTAATTACACAAAAAAAAGGAAAAAAAATTTCAATTTACCAGTGTATGCAGCAGAGCGATCAACTTTGGACCAATCCTTGCCAGAGAAAGCACCACCACCGTGGGCACCATGACCACCGTACTGCCGTTGATTTTTTTTTGTAATGTAAGAATCAAATAAAAATAAATTCATAGTATCATAATATCTTACCGTATCAACAATAATCTTACGTCCTGTCAAACCAGCATCACCTTGAGGTCCACCGATAATAAATTTTCCGGAAGGTTGCATATGATAAGTAGTTCTTTCCGTGAGGTATTTTGCTGGTATAACTGCATTGACAACGTGTTCCTTTATTTGAGCTCGAAGTTCGGGTGTATCAATTTCAGGAGAATGTTGTATAGAAATTACGATGGAATCAACTTCAATAGGGATTAATGCGCCATTTTCTTTCTTATAACGTACGGTAACTTGGGTCTTGGAATCTGGTCGAAGCCTGTAATCATCGGTGAAATTTAAAATGATGTACAAAAAAATGAAATAATGAAATGTATGTTATCTCACCAGTTAAGAGTTTGATCTCTGCGAAGATCCGCCATTTTTTTGTTTAACTTGTGAGCTAATACCAGGCTAAGTGGCATTAACTCAGGAGTTTCATCAGTAGCATACCCGAACATAATACCTAAATAACATAAATAATTAAAATTATAAAAATAAAAAATAGCAAGAAAAAAATTTGATTCATACCTTGATCACCAGCACCAATTTCTTCAAGGTCTTCGCCTTTTTGTACAAGACCTTGTGCAATATCGGGCGATTGTTGTTCGATAGCTACAAGCACATTACATGTCTTGTAATCAAATCCTTTGGATGAATCATCATAACCAATACGTTTAATAGTATCTCTGACAATCTGTTGATAATCAAGAGTAGCCTTGCTTGTAATTTCTCCAAATACAAAAATCAACCCAGTCTTCGTTGCAGTCTCACAAGCAACTTTGGAAAATGGATCGACTTTGAGACAGGCATCCAAGATGGCATCCGATACTTGGTCAGCAATTTTATCTATATATTAAGAAAGAATAGCGATTAATTCAAAAGGTTTATTTCGAAATAAATTCTTAAATGGCTATAATTCTTTTTTTATAATGTTAAGTATAAATATGCAAAAGTACTAGAGTGTATTACGGTTATATTTATTATTATTATTATTAATTTAAGCAAAATGCTAAAGTATATAACAATTTGTCCTTTTAGATTTGAACATTTCATTTATTTAAATAAATTAAATAAGACTTTACCTGGATGTCCTTCACCAACAGATTCTGAGGTAAATAAAAAAGTTCCGTCGTCAGACATTATGATTCGTTACTAGGTATTATTACTAGATTATAAACGTTAGTAAAATGTAATTCATAAATAAATGGGTGTATTTATACTGTTACATATCAATAATAATTTTACGCGAAAAAAATTTTAATCTAGATGTTACATTTAATCATTTAATCAAAGATGATCATAAATTGCGCAATTTGGGGCAAATGTTTAACTTGTTTTTGTGAAACAGGAAAGCGAGCCACTAGCGAGCCAATATACGTTTAATTTAATTATTGGATTTTCATGAGGATGAATCCATTTGGAATAAGTTGTACAGTTGATACACCCCTTAAAAATATAATTTGTAAATTTGTGATTACATAAATTTACACTAGTATTTATTTTATTATTTTAATATTTTTAACATTTATTTCTTCTCTATTTTGATGGATTAATTAACATTATTAACATTAATTAGGTTAAAAATAATAACCGGAAATCTCAACTAATATTTCAAAATTTGCCAGTCATAATTATCATCCAATTCCGTGAAAACTTTACGCCTCGATAATAATAAATTTTTTTTTTTTTTTAGGCTTCTATGATTTCTATGATCTAACAACTTCATTAAAGTTTTTAATGATCAGATCAATATCTTTTGAATCCTTCTTCAGGGTATCAATACCATGTACTATTCCTGTGTGTTCAGCGCCAAGAACCTAAAAATGGGTTTAAAAGTTGTTTCAAATTCATTGATCATTAAATTGAATACATAACGAATACTTGCCTTCACGATATTATCTAATTGATTTGCATCAACAGTGTTGTATTTATGAGCTACTGATGGTTCACGATTATCCCAATGTATTTTTAATATACTATATTGTGTCTTGATATGGTCAAGTCTAACCATTGGCCTTAACAAATTTTGTTTGATTTCCTCTAAACGTCCTTTGAGTTGCTCTTCACCTGAACGGGTCATAGTTCCCCTAAGACGTACTACTTGAATTCGTTTCATAAGCTATATCGATTTAACATAAATTAAATAATTAGACCTTTTAAATATTTTACTAAACTTAATTCACAAACCTTAATAACTCGTTGCGTCAATTCCATATGCTTCCGTTTTTGATTTTCCAAATTTACGGAGGTTTCTAAGTTATGTTTAATTTGCAATGTCTCTATTTTATTTCCGATATCCTATAATGATACTTTCAATATAAATAAATCTCGGAAAAAGAATAATAGTTATTAAATTAAATGTACCTTTAATTTTGCAGAAATTTCATTTTTACCGTTTAAATGCTCTATAATCCTCTTTTTTAAGTCTTCGAACCCAACAGCAACAATTGGCATCATTCTAATAATAGTCATATTTTAATATAAATATAATTTGCACCATAATTATAATATATCTCACACCAATATTATTACTTACATCGTTTTATCTGGATTATTTTTTTGTGCTTCTTCCCAAAGTTCCTGTGTCCAACGTTGTTGCTGTTGCGGTTGGAAATACTGCACTGAACCAGGATTTGATAAATTGAAGAAATAAGTCTGACAAAGATCATAATACAATTAGAATTATTTACATACGATAAAAGCGAGCAAATCACATATTGTAATTAAATGTACTTACAATAAACTGACACTGGGGGCTGTACGTATTCCAAGAATTCATCAATTCATGTAGTTCTTGAACGGGTGTCCGATGTTGTTGTAATTGTTGACCTGTGATACCATTAGGTATTGTCATCCGAAACAAAAATTTATATAAATTATTACTAGTTGAAGGTTAAATATAATCCTTACTTGGTTGTGTTGTGACTAAACTAGTCGGCTGCATAGTACTAGTGCCAGTACCAATACCAAAGGCTGGAACTAACATAATAAGATTATTAAAGTAATAGCTTATAAAAAAATTTATATAACGAAAGTATTCAAAGTTGTATACCAATCGAAGTTCCCGGCTGAGTTGAAAATCCAAAGGCGCCACCACCAAGATTCAATTGAGGCGCTGCAGTTGATTGTGAAGTTTGGCCGAAGCTAAACATACTGGGTTGTGATGATTGTCCAAAGCCAAAGCCACCACCAGGTTGTGAAGATCCAAAACCAAAGCCACCGCCAGGTTGTGAAGATCCAAAACCAAAGCCACCTACTGAAGATCCAAATCCTGCTGGTTGTGTAGTTTGTCCAAAAGCAAATCCACCAGCGGTTGGTTGTGTCGAATGTCCAAAACCAAAACCAGGTTTTGTTGTACCGAATCCAAAACCACCAGCAGCCGGTTGTGTTGTAGCGGTTTGACCAAATCCAAATCCACCAGCAGCTGGTTGTGTCGTTTGACTAAATCCAAAACCACTAGGCCTTGTTGCACCAAATCCAAAACCACCAGCAGCCGGTTGTGTTGTAGCGGTTTGACCAAATCCAAATCCACCAGCAGCTGGCTGTGTCGTTTGACCAAATCCAAATCCACCAGCAGTTGGTTGGGTTGACTGTCCAAAACCACTAAATCCAAAACCACCAGGTTTTGTTGTACCGAATCCAAAACCACCAGCTGCCGGTTGTGTTGTAGCAGTTTGTCCAAATCCAAATCCGCCAGCGGCTGGTTGTGTCGACTGACCAAATCCAAAACCAGTCGGTTGTGTTGTAGTAGTTTGACCAAATCCAAATCCACCGGCGGCTGGTTGCGATGACTGTCCAAATCCAAAACCAGTCGATTGTGATGTAGTAGTTTGACCAAATCCAAATCCACCAGCAGCTGGTTGTGTCGACTGCCCAAATCCAAAACCACTAGGCTTTGTTGTACCGAATCCAAATCCAGTCGATTGTGTTGTAGTAGCTTGACCAAATCCGAATCCGCCAGCTGCTGGTTGTGTCGTTTGTCCAAATCCAAAACCACTAGGCCTTGTTGCGCCGAATCCAAAACCACCAGCAGCTGGTTGTGTCGTTTGACCAAATCCAAAACCACCGGCAGCCGGTTGTGTCGTTTGACCAAATCCAAAACCACCAGCAGCTGGTTGTGTTGATTGTCCAAACCCAAATCCACCGGCAGCTGGTTGTGTCGACTGTCCAAATCCAAATCCTGTTGGTTGTGAGGTTTGTCCGAATCCAAATCCACTAGGCCTTGACGTATTGAATCCAAATCCAGTCGGTTGTGTTGTAGTAGTTTGACCAAATCCAAATCCACCGGCAGCTGGTTGTGTTGACTGTCCGAATCCAAATCCACCAGCAGCTGGTTGTGTTGACTGACCAAAGCCAAATCCACCAGCAGCTGGCTGTGTTGTCTGACCAAAGCCAAATCCACCAGCAGCAGGCTGTGTTGTCTGACCAAAGCCAAAACCACCAGCAGCTGGTTGTGTTGCCTGACCAAAACCAAAACCACCAGCAGCTGGTTGTGTTGTTTGACCAAAACCTCCAAAGCCAAACTGAGGTCTTGTTGCGGTTGAAGATTGCGCACCGAAACCAAAGCTACCACCAAATCCTGGGGCAGTTGTTGCTAAAAAAAAATGCATAACTTACTGAGACTACTAGCAAAAGATCTTGGACACGAGATCTCTGTCTGCGCTGTCTGCGCTAAACTAAAACGCCACAAAAACCCGGAAATGATCGATCAACCTACCTGGAAAATTCCCAAAGCCTGTTGTGGTGGATTGCCCAAAAGGACTAGCTGTAGAACCGGTACCAAAAGGAGAGCTACTCGTTGTAGAAGTAAATCTTCCAAAAGACGACATTTTTGAAGTCGTTATGAAGTGCGAATTTATACGTATTTATATGAAATGACAAATCACATGATTATTGGGTAAATCTTACCACACCTGGCACACCACCCTCGGGTACACAATGACATTTAGCGTATTTCCCCAGTATCACCGACACTTTTTCCACCCCACGTGATTTTGTAATATTCATCACCGGCATCACCCCCACCGCGTTTTTACTGTTTATATTTATCTGAGGGACTTAGTTTTTTTTTGCCTCACAAAATTATTTTTTTCACATCCCTTTAAATGTTACCGGTCACGTGGGGGTGGAATTTTAATTATAAAAGTGTCGGTGATACTGGGGTAAATCATTTAGCGTCACATTGTCACGTGATATCCGCGTTCGCGTTTTTTATATTTATCTGAGGGAGACACTAGCCTGATCTCTATTTATCACAACACCTCGGACATCACACCCAACAAATATTTGTGTAACCGAGGGTGGTGTGGTAAGACTACCCTAATTATTGCTACACAAGATTGATTTAACTGAATTTATTCATTTTATAGCCTTTTTGGAAAAATCTCGAGAAACATACAGAAATGAAGCTGATTTCAGCTCAAGAAGTTAGCAAGCACAACACTCGTGAAGACTGTTGGGTAATTATTCACGATAAGGTATATGATTTAACAAAATTTCTTCCTGAACATCCAGGCGGAACTAGAGTAATTCTTAATCAGGCTGGCAAGGATGCTACAGCGGCATTCGATCCAGTTCATCCCCCAGACATTATTGACCATTATTTGCCTCCCGAAGTTTGTCTTGGGAGTATTGACCACGCTACAGTTGTGAAAACCGTTAAAGTAGAAACTGAAGTGGATAAAAGACGCCGTCAAGCAATTGAAAATAAGCCTAAATTAGGCGAAATGTTAAATCTGTACGATTTTGAAGCGGTAGCTTCACAAGTATTATCAGCTGAGACTTGGGCTTATTACAGTTCAGGTTCAGATGATGAAATTACTCTCAGAGAAAATCATAATGCTTTTCAACGTATTTGGTTACGACCTAGAGTTATGAGAGATGTAACGTACGTTGATACGAGAACAAAACTTTTAGGTTACGATTCATCTTTCCCTGTGTATATAACTGCCACTGCACTGGGAAAGTTAGGTCATCCCGAGGGGGAAGTAGTTCTTACTCGTGCTGCGCATACACAAAAAATAATTCAAATGTTACCTACTCTCGCTTCTTGTTCTTTAGACGAGATGACAAATGCTAAACATGAAGGTCAAATTCAATTTTTTCAGTTATATGTTAATAAGAATAGAGACATTACACGAAAGATTGTTCAAGCAGCAGAGCGGAAAGGTTGTAAAGCTCTTTTTATCACTGTAGATGCACCACAGCTGGGTCGTCGTGAGAAAGATATGCGCGTAAAATTCGTACATGAACCACCTCACCTTCAAGACGAAAAGGATATAAGACGTGATCAAGGGACCGCGAGGGCGATTTCTTCATTTATTGATACAGGCCTAAGTTGGAAAGATTTGGAATGGTTCAGATCGATAACAAAAATGCCTATTATACTCAAGGGTATCCAAACTACTGAGGATGCAGTACTTGCAGCCAAATATGGCTGCGAGGGAATAGTTCTTTCAAATCATGGAGGTCGCCAGCTTGACTTCGCTCGTTCTGGAATTGAGATTCTTCCGGAGGTTGTTGAAGTATTAAAAAAAGAAGGTTTATATGACAAAATGGAAGTATACGTGGATGGTGGTATACGGCGCGGGACCGATATTTTCAAAGCAATAGCTTTAGGAGCAAAAGCCGTAGGAATCGGGAGGCCATTGCTTTATGCAATGTCGTCTTATGGACAGGCAGGTGTAGAACGCGCACTTCAATTGTTAAAAGATGAATTGGAATTGGCTATGCGACTCGCAGGAGCAAATACGCTTGCTGATATTCGACCTGAGATGGTAGATATCAAAAATCTGACGGATCATGTTTTTATACCAAAAGACTATTTATTTTCAGATGTTTATAAGAAACTTGTACCAAAAAGAAGCAAACTATAAATCTTAATAATTTGTTTATTTAATTTTATTTATAAATAAAATTTATTTGTTGAAATAAATGATAATTAAAATTATGAATTCATCATATTAATTTCCTTCGGATTTTTCTACATCAAGATTTCTTTCTTTGATTTGCTTATCCTTCTCTTCTTTTAGTTTATAATTTTCTTCTTGTTTTACGAGCACTCTAATAGGTCTAGATTTCCAACCGGCCAACTTTCTATATCGAGATTTTCTATCTTCCCGAAAAAGTTCGGCATCGGAATATTTTAACTCTATAGGTCTTGGAGGATAATTAAAATCATCACCTAAAGTGACAATAGCTTTTTTATAACTAGGTCTATATCTCTGGTTATTTATTTGGGATTCTGCAGCATAAACCATAGTACGCACATCAACTACATCAAGTTTATAAATATTTGTTAGATAATCTTTTATATCTAGTTTATTAATATTAGTTGGAATTCGAAATGCCACTTTATTTGGAGGTAGAGAGGGTGTTCGCATCAAACGGAAAATTACGTTAGGTAGATAAATTTTTTTTAAACCAGGTTTCCATCCGCTCATATTTTTTAATATGAAATTAATTCACCCAAAATAATTCGTCTTAATTCTCGTTAAAAAAGATGTAAGCAACCAATCAAAATTTGGTAATACAGATATAAATTTCAAAAAAAAAAAAATTTTTTTAAAAAAAAAATGGCTGCTCCGTACAAAAAATTATCAATAAGAAAATTTGCAAAACCTGTTGATAGCAATACAAATGAGTCAAGATACTGGAAAGGATTTAAGGTGATTCTTTACTTGAACATGGAATAAACACGTTATTAACAAAAAATATTTTATTTTATTAATTCAAATAAATTAACATATACTTTATTTTCTAGACAAAAGTAAAATTGAAAGAAATTGCGTCCGTAACTTCAATTTGTTTCTCTCCTCTCGCACCATATAATTTCGCCGTAACGTCATCCACACATGTTCAAGTTTATTCTTCGAAAAATTATCAAGTAACGAAGTCAATATCAAGGTTTAATGACATCGCATATAGCGGGAATATTCGAAATGATAGTAAACTTCTTGTCGCTGGAGACGCTACTGGGTTGATTCAGGTATACATTTAATAATCATATTTTTCTTTTCTAATTTTCAATGATGTATTAATGTTAAGTAAATCCGTTTTGCATAGATTTTCGATATTAATAGCAGAGCAATATTAAGAACAATGAAAGGACATAAACTGTAAATTATGCGTGCATAATATTATTATAACCGAATTATAATTATAAAATGTTAACAATTTTTCATTAGTCCTGTGCAGATAACTAAATTTGCCCCTGTGAAAACACAAATTCTCTCTTGTTCAGATGATAAAACTGTTAAAATTTGGGATATATCCGGACAAGAACCGGTATCAGTTCTTGAAGGACACCAGGTTAGTATTTCTTTTCAACAAGTGATTTTTGAAATTAACTTACTAATTTAATTTAATAAATTAAAATAAAGGATTATGTACGAGCTGGTTTGATAAGCAACGATAATCCTCATTTAGTATTATCTGGTTCTTATGATCAAACAGTAAAACTTTGGGATTTGCGCACAAATACTTGTACTATGACTTTGACTCATGAAATGCCTGTGGAAGAAGTTTTAATATTTCCTAGTGGTGGAACAGTAATTTCAGCAGGTTTTTAAAAAAGGATTTTTTCCACTATATAAAAAGTCATTGACATTCTTACTTGTGACCTTAATATTTTAAGGTGGACCAATTATAAAGGTCTGGGATATTAATGGTGGAAGTCGAGTTGTTCATTCCATATCAAACCATCAAAAAACGGTTACTTCGATGTGCTTTAATTCAATACATTCTCGACTTCTTACTGGATCTTTAGATCACCACGTTAAAGTTTATGATACTAAAAATTTTGAAGTTGTGCATGATTTAACATATTCCGATCCAATTTTAAGCCTTGCAATTTCAGTAAGTCATTTATAGAGGCCTGAGGCCAGGGACGGTTCACAATAAGTTTGCATTTAATGAACCAGATAAAATTATGTCTCTAATTAAATATTAAACTCAGCCTGATGAAACACACATTGTAGCCGGGATGACATCTGGTTCTTTAACTGTACGAATCCGAAACGTAAAAACTGCGTCAAACCATGAAAAAAAACAACCAAAACCGGGCACTTATCAATACTTTATCCGTGGGTTTAATCACAGTGGAAATAAGGTATATCGGATAGTGAGACAAATATCCTTAAACGTTTTTTTTTTTATTTTTTTTTGTTAGGATTTTGACGTTATAATTTTTTTAAACAAGGACGATCATGTAATAGAAGCAAAGCGAAAGGAAAGATTAGCAAAGTATGATAAATACTTGAAGAACTTTCAATATTCGAACGCACTCGATGCTGTGTTAAGACCCGTGCGTATATGTATATTTGTGATTTTTGTATTTAATATATGGTCAATTCCTTAAGAAGTGTTTTTTACGCGATTTACAGAATACACTTCCAGTTTTAACGGTTTCGTTAATTCAAGAGCTCATACTTCGCGATGCTTTAGCAATAGCAATCGCCGGACGAGATGAAACCTCCTTGGCACCTTTAATCAAATTTGTGAATACTTGGATTACTGATCCAAAATATACAAGTCTCATGATTGATGTTTCGCAAGTTATATTAGGTATATTTCTTATACGTAATAATAGAATAACATTTTAAGCGTTTATACTAACATTTTGTTATTTTAGGACTGTATTCCCCGGTAATTGGGCAATCTTCGGAAATAACAAAGCTTATAAATATCTTGCATCAAAAAGTAAAGAATGAAATCTCATTACAAAAAGAGATTGCGAAAGTAATAGGTTCTGTAGAAATGATATTTGCTGGTGGTGCATTAAGAAATAAAACAAATCATCAAATAACCAAAAAATAAATTGACTTTTTAAGTTTACAAAAACAACGAAGAGTTCGGCGAGCATTGAATTACGTAATTGGTGTGAAAAAAAATATCGTTAGCGATCATAAATGGTGATTTGCAATCCCTGCGCAGCTGATTAGTAAAGTTGTCGTCTTATTTTCATGCCGTTGTATTTTTTTCACATTTAATGTTATTAACTATGTGAATCCGAATTTGAAAAACGAATTCATTATAAATAAATAGAAGATTGGATAGATTCATGTAAATTAGTATCTATATTCATATTTAGTCGAGCCTTCTGAAAATAAGTTATATATTAATCATTATTAACGGACATCAGATATGATAATCGGGCTATTAAATTGAAATAGGCAACTCCGAAAGAAATTTTGTTTATCGAAATATTTAAATGTTTATTTCATTTATATCTACTATTAAAGAAAAAATTTTCCTCATGAATAGATTTATAGGAATAAATCTGAAAAAATCATAATGCACCTCTCTAAGTCATAAGTTCACACTTAAAATATTAAGTATTTCTCAATATTGCAGGGAAGGTAATTACTGTTGGTGGTATTGGATGTATTTATGAAGATTAGATCTGGAAAGAAATAGAATTTTTTTTAATTCACGAAAATTCGGAATTTCATTTTTTAGGATTCATTTTCTGCTTAAACTCCATAGCTGTATCCAAAGTTGAAGTTTATATATTTTATGTATGTGTATCTTAACTTCTAAACTGGTACAAAAATCAAAATATAGAATATTTTTAATCATCAATTGACTAACTACCTCGATTAGATTTCAAAAATTTCCATACTGAAATAAATTCTATTAAAATGTATTCGCGACTTATTCAATTACTTAATAATGTTTTTGGCCACCGGGAAGAAGAACAAGCGTATACTCCTATCCTGAATCATGAAGGTTCTTCACAAGCAAGAGAAGACGTGCCTCCCAGAGATAATTATCGAATTGTGTATTTGACATTTTTATTACAGGGTGTTACCATGCTTTTGGGATGGAACGGTATAGAATAATGATATATGTAATTTTATAATTTAAGTGATTTTTATGATTATTTATTGTAAATTATTATTTGTTTCGGTAGTATTCATTACTGCTTCTGTATTCTTTCACGAAAGTTTTCGTGGTTCAGCATACGAAAATAACTTCCAAAACTACTTTTCCATTGTATTCACAAGTTTTAATTTTTTCTTTCTTGGGCTTGCCTTATATACTCATAATTTGGTAAGTAATTCCAATTATAGAATTAATACCTTATTTTAATTTTAATGTTAATTTTATCATCAAAAACTTCTTTATAATTACATTAGGAAAATATTCCTCGCCGAATAACCATAACGCTTATATTTATGGTATTAAAATTTTTATTAATTGCAATATCTACCCAATATGTTGAGTCGTTTGGCCCTACGTATTATTTCTATTTTGTTATCGCATTGATTGGTATCGCGGGTGTGACAACTGCGTTTCTTCAAAATGAAATATTCGCTCTCGTCTCTCAATTTTCACCTAATTATACTGTATCGGTCATGAGGTGAACCCAATATCTATAATTATCCTTCTCTTCTTTTTCTCCTTTTTTCTCTAAAGAAAAAAAATTCTTTTTTTTCATTTGATTCGAATATTTAGCGGTCAAGGTAACTTATGGAAATAATAATGTATCTTTTAATGAATGTAACATTTCTAAAACTTTGCTTTTTAATTAAGGTTTGGCCGGGTCTGCAGTTGCTATCTTTCAAATTCTCAGTGCTTTGGCCGCCCCACCATCAACAACATTTGACACGCTGGAAGAAAATGATTTGTCACGCAGTGCACTTTTATATTTTCTTTGTGCCTTTATAATTGTTATTTTGGCTTTAATATCTTTTTATTTTATTCTGATTCGCTCGCCTCTTTATCTACATCACAGAGAGCAAGCGCGAAGAGTAGAAACTATATGTGATATAAATTCAATTAGAGCAACATTTGATAATATCCGTATTCTCGTATTTGCAGTGGGATTTGTCTTCACTGTGACCCTGTCTGTTTATCCCTCAATAACTGCATATATCAAATCAACTGTTAAGGATGAAAACAAAAATAAATTCCGCCAAGATTATTTATTTATTCCTTTACATTTCTTGATATTTAACCTTGGAGATTTGCTCGGTCGATCTCTACCTTCTCTACAGTTCTTTATTATAACAGATTCTGTAAAACTTGCACGCATGTCGAGTGCACGTATTATATTTTTGCCACTTTTCTTAATGTGCAACGTGGATATTGGTTCAATTGGAATGAGAACCTTTCCATTATTTATTAACAGCGATTTAATATATTTCTTGATCTTGTTGCTGTTTGCAATAACTAATGGTTATATGGGTTCTTTAACAATGATGGCTGCACCACAAGTTGAAGGTGTTGCAAGAGACCTTGCTGGAACTATTATGTCATTTGGATTAGTTTTTGGATTAGTTCTTGGTTCTATCTTTTCTTTTCCAATGCTTGCGATCAGTTGTGGCTGCAATCCAATTGGGAAATAATTGGAAATACATTATAATATAAATAAATCTTTATACATGTATTTCATGTATTTAATTGTCATAGTTTTTTTTATCTTATATCTTACATATATCATATCATTAACTATTAACTTTGCATAGTATTAAAAAATGGGAAATTTAAAAATTTTTTTTTTTACAAATAAAGATTTTTTTTTTAAATTATAGGAAAAATACAATTCATTAATTTTAAACCTATCATTTGTTTTTCTCAAAGGCCTCCACAACTTCGGGAGTAGGACTAGCTCCTTTTGACATTAAAAATTCAGCCATCTTCCAATTTTTCTTTTCCACGGCAACCTTCAACGCAATTGAATCAGCTTTTACATCTTCATTATTTAACAATAATTTAACCATATCGAAATCATTTGATTTTGAAGCCACTGTCAAAGCCATATTATCTTTGATATCAGCTTTAGCGCCAAAAGATATTAGAAGTTCTGCCATTTTGAGTCGTCCGAGCTGAGCAGATTTGATGATTGGATATCCATCAGGTTCATTAGGGGAAGCACCACGATCGAGAAGAATCTTTACTAATTCATAATATACATTATTCGGATCGGGAACGCTAAAAAACCATTGGGGAATTGGGCGACCTTTATATGGAATTACTTTATCTAAAGTTTCGCCTCTTTTGCATTTAGATTGATAATAGATCGAATCTAATTGATATAAAATGTTTTTATTAAAGAACCTCCATTTTAATCCACGATATAATGCTTTAGGACAATCATGATTAAACTTATTTAAAAGCCATTGAGTTTTCACACTTGTTTGAGAATTTGCAATATAATGAAACAAACGTGATACAGAAGCAAATGCTGGATTGCATGAAAATATAAAAATTTGTTGAAGTACTTCGAATGGAAGCTGTTGTATCTTTAAATTATTATTCGCCATTTATTTGAAGTGTAAACTGACTATAAAATAAGATGAATAACTTCTAGAACTTTTGCAATCGCAAAGTTTGAACTTTTATATATTTATAGAAATGTGCAAAGGGAGAGTCATCTGATTATCTGATTTGCTAATTATGGGAATTATTGAAACAATATTTAGAGATTACGGAAATTTCCCGGATCATCTTTCAATGAAAATTTTTGCTCTTTTAAGCAGCTCATTAAGATGCAAAGGATTGTGTACATTGTGTACATTAAATGAATGGCTGATCATTATCACGTGGATTATTTCTAAAGTGGAACTATTGTGACTTTCAACTTCTCGCTTTCAAGAATGGGTAAAAAACCTTTTATTGATCGTAAGAACGCAAAATACTTTCAAGTAGTTCATAGATCACAAAGAGATCCATTGATAAATGACAATGAAGCGTCTTCTAGAGTATTAGTTGAAGTTGTTCCATCGAATTTGAGGGTAACATTATTTTTTATTTCTACAAATTGAAGAAACTTATGTTGAAAAGCAGATATTTTTTTCTTTCCTTTTCCTTTTTTTTAAAAAAAATCCTTAATCACATTTGTAATTAATCTTTATTTAAATAAAACAATTTATATACATTTTTGAAAAAAATTCAATATAAAATATTTTGGTATTGTCTTTTTAAATAGGGTAAGAGCAAACAAATTGTCGAACATAATGATTTTGATGATTATCAAAGAAGACAAAAGGAAATTGAAAGGTTTTCCTTCATTTTTTCATTATTATATTCTTGCACACACATATATTAACTAAACAAATGATAAATAAAGTCGGGTTGGACAAGCAGCATTATATGGAGTATACTTTGATGATACAGAATATGATTATCTTCAGCATTTAAAACAAATTGGTGAAAATGAAGGTGAAGCAGTATTTGTTGATGCTTCAAAGAAAGAAAAGAAGACAGTCGGAAACTTTGAATTAAAAAAGAGTTTAAAATCAGATGATAATAAAGTAAGATGATAAAGAATTTTTTAACATTTCTTTTCCTTATAAAGAATATGATTTTATCGATTTTATCGGATTATGATGAGCATTATTAAAATGATATTTGAATGAAATATGTGAATTTATATATCTTTTTAACCAATTGTTCCTACTGAGTCAGAGTGAAAAATCATTAAAATTCAATTCTACATTTAAGTAAAAGTTTAGTTATAAATTTCTAACATACTTATTTGGAATATATTAAGGATGTTCTGGTTTCTTCCAAGAAAGATCGAAAAGTTAAAATATCATTGCCAGAAGAAGTTCTGCCATCAAAAGAAGAATTACCAGTGGGATTTTTAAATCAATCAGCAATTCCCGAAGGTATTTAACTTGCTCATTTAATTAAAGATACCGTTAATCTAAGAATAAAAATTTTTAATAGATATACAGGGGTTTCAGCCTGATATGGATCCAAAACTTCGGGAAACGTTGGAAGCACTTGAAGATGGTGCATATATAAATGATGATTTAGATGATGATTTCTTTGCAGCTTTAAATGCTGAAGATATCGAATTCTATGAAGAGGAAGAAGAAGATTCTGAACATGATGAAAAAGAAGCTGAAAATTGGGAACTAGAATATAAAAAATTCAGGAAAAATAAAAATCGTGAAAAAGAAAGTGATGATGATGATGATGATGATGATGATAAGAGATCAAGAACAACTGGTGGTTATTCAATGACAAGTTCTATTATGTTTAGAAATGATAAACTTCGTTTATTGGATGAGCAATTTGAAAAGGTATAAAATTAAAAATTTATTAATTATTATTAACAGTAACGATAATAAAAATATATTTCTTTTAATTGATATAGATTTCAAAAGAATATATAGATGATGATGATGAATCTGATGACGAATCAACATCTTCGCAGATACGTCAAGATTTTTCACAAATTCTTGATGAATTTCTTGACAAGTATGAAATTAACGGTCGTAAAGTTGTACAAAAATTGGAAGGCGATAATGCACAAGACCAGTTAGAAACCATAAGACAAGGTTTAGGAAAAGTAATCGTTAATGATGATAATTCAAGTCAAAATGAAACAATTAAAGAAGAGAAAAGGGGAGATATTTTTGTCCATGTTGACAGTGAGGAAAAAGATGAAGGTCAAAATTGGGATTGTCAATCTATATTGAGTAAGTAGGAAGAGTCTTTTCTTGTACAAACACCTCTAAAATTTTTAATAATATATATATATATGTATATAAAATATAAGGCACGTATTCAAATCTTGAAAATCATCCTACTTTAATAAGAGAGAAGTCTCGCAAAAAGAGTCAGAAGATTAATATAAATCAAAAGACTGGTTTGCCTATAGTTAAATTGTCTACTGAGAACAAAACAGATGAGGAAGAGGAGGAGGAAAGGGACAAAGGAATTGAGAAACAAGAAAAAGAAGAAAATGAAAAAGGTAAATAAAATGATTTCTTACTATTTAGAACATATTTTAAAATGTATATTCTAAAATCATTTACTTTATATTGTAGTAAACTTCGGCAAAGCAAGATCAAAAAATGAACCAAAAGAAGAAAAGAAATTACGTAAACAGAATATCAAGTCTGAAAGAAAGGTAAAACTCATTGACTTATTTTTGAATTATTGTTAATCTTCTAGCCCAAACTAATTTTGAATTTTTTTTTAAAAGAAACGTCGAACTGAGAAAAAGTCACTTAAACAAGCTTTTGCTAAAGAGCACACGAAGCAAAACAAAATTTCGCACAATATATCAAAAAATCATCTTGATGCCATTCATTTAGATTAAACGTTATCTATTGCTATATTTCGAGCTTGAAAATTTTTTGTCATCCATGTTCAAATTTATTTACTTTTAATCTTGAATTACTAAAATTGCAAAAAAAAAAACTAGCTGGTTAAACCACTATAAATTTTGTAAATTACTGTGTTCATTTAGGTTTCACAAATTATGATCGAATTTACATCAAAATTACATAGCACTTCGAATCTTTAATTCTTAATTTTTCTCAAAAGCATGCCTGTACCAACAGGAAATCGAGCATCACAACCGCACTTAACAGAAACCTCACTTCCTTTCCCTCCGCTCACGGAACAACATATTCTTAATTGTACGTTTTCTTCCTGGTACAATAACTTTCGGCGTGTCAGTATAAAGTCAAAAATAATTAAACCGTTGCCAGAAGAATTTGTCGAATACTTACATGCTGATGGAGTTTTTCTCCCTGAACAAAAGTAAATGTTAACAAATGTATATAATTTTAAATTTTTAGAAAAATTGACTTTATTATTTATCTAGTTATCTTGAAGGAAGTCACCTGAGAGAAATTAGTGATAATGATGATGATGATTTCAATGCTAATGAAACGGATATCGATGAAGATGATGAAAATGTATGCATTTTTAGCTTGAATAAACTCTTATATCATTTAATTCTTTTATCTAATATCTATATTGTGAACCGATTAAGCAACCACTTCCAAGTTTTCCAGATTTGGAACAGCAGATTTGGGATATAATTGATGAATTTGATGGGTCAGTTTTTCCAAAACTCAATTGGAGCTCTCCCAGGGTAATTAATATTATACACTTCATTTATAATGACATATTTCGTTAACTTTTTTTTTTTTTGGTTTAGGATGCCACATGGATTTCAGCTACTAACACACTCAAATGTAATTCACCTTCTGACATATTTCTTCTCCTTAAATCATCCGATTTTATTGCTCATGATCTTGATCATGCATTTGATGATTGTTATTATGATAATCAAAGTGATAGTAGGAGACATCGACCAAATGAATTTGAGTTGGTGTTGAGAAAATGGTATGATGTGGCTCCTTCCATGGAATTTCGATGTTTTGTAAAAGAGGAAGAATTAGTTGGTAAGCGCGTATTTGATTTAATATGAAAGGTGTGTCAATTTCGTGCAATTAATATGATTTTAGTAAAGACACACAAACTCACTTTCAATTACTAATATATTTTCATAATTGTCCCTTAAAAATTCAAGCCATATCACAGCGGGATGTCAATTATTACTCTTTTTTGAATGACATAAAAGAAGAATTGGAAACGAAGATTATTCAATTTTTTGAAACTCACGTACAAAATAAATTTTTTAATCGAGATTGTATGTATAAAATTTATACACTTTTAATATCTGTTATAAACTAATCATTTATTATCATTTCAGATGTTTTTGATGTATATGTGACACGGAATAGAGAGAGAGTTTGGTTGATTGATTTCAATCCTTTTGGACCTATGACGGATGGTCTTATGTATACTTGGGAAGAAATTCTGACAGGTTTGTTCAGTGAGATATTAGTTCACTCAATTAATTCTTGTAACTGAAATTCTTTCACATAAATTAAGCAACTGGGCCACCATCATTTCGACTTATCACTTCTCAAACTGAGGCCAGTCAATCACGTAGTCGACCATTTGCTGTAAATCGCTACCCGCGAGAAATTTTCGATTTATCGCAAGGACAAACTATTGCAGAATTTGCTGAACAATTTCAACGTGAATTGGCAATTGCTGTATCTAGCAGTGATGAAGAAGAAAATGATAATGAAGATAATGTTTAGTTTTACCAACAGTTTTAATCATTAGACGATAAAAAAGAAATTCTTGAATATATAAAGTTATTTATATAATATTTTATTTAGATTCTAAATAGGGCAAGTCCTTAAGTGCTTTGGTATAAAAAAATTTAAGGAAATAGTTAAATAACAGATAATAAATTTATATTTTGACATGTCTATGCATAAAATTTTTTTATTCTATTAAAACTTGTATGCCAAATGATCATAAGCTATATTAATTATAGTTTGAAGAAAATTTATCAAGAAAAAAATATCGTGTACCACATGTTACCTGTTATATAATTTATCTATTTGATCTAAATATTCTTTATAACCTTTAAAAAATAATTTTTGTTTATGTGATTCATAACAAACAGATATGAGACCAAAATGAGAAGTATTGTCATTTTCCCAAACGTCCCATATACCGGCTTCAATTTTACACAAAGCAGCGCCTTCGGGTAATCCTTTTTGATGTTTACATTTATCTGGTGAACAATCATGATGAGGATGTACTTGGGAATATTTTGGACATATTCCATCATTTTCATACCATTTATACATTTCTTCATATGAAATTGGTGGATCTGGTGTATTTTCAGGAAATTTGAAACTTCCAGTATATTTGGAGAGAAAGTAAATTGGAATTGGAAGAGAAAATGAAAATTTCGGTTGATGATAGTTTGTTACATGATCTTCACACGTCTAAAAGAAATAATAGATAAGATAAATTAAAATACTTTTTTTTTTTTTTAAAAAAAAAAAAAAAATTTGTTAGTAATATTTGTTATTATTATATTTTTAAACTTACAATAGACGCGACATAAGTCCTATAAAATGTTTTTTCGAAAGTTTTACTTGTAACATTAAGTTCTTTCATAGCATGTATAGTCATATCATAAGGAGCGTTATCTACACAATTAAACCAAGGGCTTTTATACAAACATTGTAATAAACCATATGTTAAACACAATGAATTTGCCGTTTCTTGCATCAATTCATTCTTTTCTTCTATTAAAGTGTTGGTAGCTTTTTTGATATTCCAAGGTAATAATGAAGAAAAATCCCAATTTTTACGAAAACTTAAATTCCAATGATCTACATTAAAATCATAAGTTATACTTTTTAACCATTTAATATCTAAATACTCATAAATATGAACGAGTCTACCAAGCCATGCACCGAAAGAGAAAGGACGAACTTTTCCAGTTGAATCAGTTGTGGCTCCTAAAAGATATACACTTTGGCTTCCTATATAAAATTTTAAAACGTGTTATATTATAAATATCATTTGGAATCCCTTTTTTTGAATTGAATTGAATTGATCACCTTTTAATGGAGAAGATACTGCAGTAAGAGAAAGTATCATATCAGGATGTGGATTAAGGTAATTGGGAAAAATGTCACTAGCCAATAACTGTTGGAGTTTCCAAATGGTTACACCACCCTATAATTATAATAAAAATGAGTAATTAAATCAACGAAAAAAACAGCAATTAAATAAAAAGTATTTTTTTTTTTTTTATAATCATACAAGAGAATGGCCAAGAAAATGTAATGGTTTGGACGCGCTCCATTCCGGATATAACCCTAAAAAAATTTTAAGATACAAATGTTTAAGAATTTTGAAGTCACGTGAATATATCTTACATAATCACTTAATAAACAATATTTTTTTGAACCTGGGTATTCACGACCATAACGAGAATGACCATATTTTTTAGAATGTTCTTCACCATAATCAACTTCGATTATTAATATAAAAAAAGATTTTAGTAATTTTTAACAGAAAACAATATATTTGTGGACTTATTTTTCCGATAATTAATAAATACCTCTTCCACCTTTAATTTGATAAAAAATTTCGATGGCTCTATCGTGTAAAGAACTTACACAACCAGGAGTAATATAAATACATCGTCTATTTTTTAATTTTTGATTTTTATTATTTCTATCATCGGAAGAAGAAAATATTTTTTCAAGTGGACCCCAATAAGCAGGTTTTCCAGGACCTAAAAATCCTTCAACGAAAACTACTGGAGTTGGTTCAACAAATGTTTCATCTTCATTCATATTTAATGATCTAACAAGATCATGTTCCGTTTCTGTTAGTTTATATTGAATCAATTCATTATCAAAAAGTTCTGGCGGCATTTTGTAGTTTTTGATTTTTAAAGATTAATAATAATTTTATTTACAAAATTTAATGTAAACAATGAGATTTTTTTGGGGAGGAAAACAAGATATCTTTTTATATTGTCGAGGGAAGTTTAATAATTAAATTGTTACAATAAATTATGCATTAACTAATTTTACACAACTGGATTAAATTATCCATTTAAAGATTAGTATATAATTAATCAAGTAAACTTGTCACTTCATCACGTGTATTTGTTTTGTTGTTTATTAATTGTGGTCAAAAAAATTATTGATGTTTGATGAAATTTCCCGTTGTGCGAAAGTTAAGCGTATTATACGTTTCTTTTTGACAAAGATTTAGCGCGATGATTACGCAATTTATTTTTTTTCGATACCAGATCACACGATGATCGTTCTCTTACTCTTTATAGCATTTTAAAATTTAAATTATTTTATATTGAACCTAAATTTAGAATAACTTTTGTAGCCTGCGGGGTTCCGTGAACCATGTTTCAAAAAGAACGTACCACGAAATAATAAAATCACATGATTTGCCAGAAACAAATTTTACATCGTATGATCGTAATTACGACAGAGTATTTATGGTTTCGGATATGCTAAAGTTAAAATTTAAAGGTTTAAAGACTTTCTTATTCGGCCAAATATTAAATTACTAAACAGATTTAAATCTTATTATTCCACTTTTTTTTTATATCCAAATTACTCGAATTGGTAAAGTAACTTAAGAAGAATTGGTAAATAATAGGCGATTTTCAAATATTAGACAATTACTAAAAAGGAAAAAATCAAAGGAAATATGGAAAAATTATTTTAAACTAATTTTTAGTTTCGCTGTTATCCTTCTTTGTAGTGGTTTTTTTATAAAAATTCCCTTTCTAAATAATATAATATAATATATATATTATATTATACAAGAGTTAACCAGACTAACCTCATACAAATCGTTCCGTAAAAATTGTAGTTTTATAGGCAGAAAAAATATATGTTACACAAATCTTTGCCTTGTTTAGTATTTGAATGCGTCCGATCTCCACAACTAATTTATCTCTACTACCATTAAATATTCTCGATATGCCTTATATCTGTTCATATATAATTTCGTTCGCGCTGAAAATACTTTAAGAAATGTGTGATTGTTATTTTTGATATTTTTGAAAATAAATAAAATAAATATACTATTATAAATTTTTTATATTATGATTAGTGAAATAGTAACTATTGTATTAATCACTTGATGCGATATTTTCGATATTTCCTTAACTTTGTTTTAATATAAAACTCGTGATATTCTTCTTTTAGAGGTATATAATTATCTACTCTCCTCTCTTTTGTAATCATAATTATATTTCTTGTTAAAAAATGTAAAAAGTTAAGTTGATCTAATTTCATATCGATAATCGTGCACGTGTCATACTTAACATGGCTGACAGTCTCCGATTCGTTGTATGAATTTAATTCACCGTCTCACAAGTTACCTGCAATTCGATACAATGTCCATATAAACTTAGCTAAGCCACTAAATTTGATTTATAGATATGCCCGTCAGATATAAAATATAATTTTTTCATTATAAATTATGAACCGTTCTATCTTAATATTTAGTTTTGAATTTTTCCTTTATTTTCCTCTCTCCTATGAACCACGGAAGTGAAATAACCAAAATGCCGGCTTCAAAGTCTCGCAAAGCTCCTGAGAGGCCGACAACACGAGCTTCAACAAAAACAGCACATACTAACGGTATAAGAATTAAAAAGTTTTTATTACAAAAAAAAACTCCCTTTAATAACCCTTAACCTTTTACTCTTTTTTTCGTTAAAGGTGACTATGCGGTTAAGCAACGTTTGAGGTCCTATCCTAACGCTGTTACACCTTCGTCTACTGGTTCCCCTTCAACGACGCGTGCAAGTTCTGTTGAATCCGCGCGGGAAGCAACTCACCGTAAAGCTTCTTCACGAACAAGCACCCGCTCTTGCCACAACAATAAAAGCGATGGTGTTATGACTCGACGCTCTATATTACAAAAGGAACATATGGGTAATATTCGTTGAACTTATTGTTTTGTAAGCATTTTTAGTTTATTAACATAATATTATAATTCATATGTACAGAAGATACTGAAATTCTTTTCGACAGTCATTCCTCAGATGACGAGGACGCCATAAACTTGAAACGCACCTATAGAACTCAAAAGCGGCGTGCGGACGAAATTGTTATTCAATTCAAGTCACTAAAAGAAAGGTAAAAAAAAAGAAAATTCTCTCTTTAAACACATAGTTCAGACAATACATAAATATGTACGTTTATTTAAAACTTTTTTTTTTTTTTTATCATATAGGGTATATTTTTCAAGGTTAAATGATCTCGACGAAGAGAATAGCGCAATTCAAGAAGGTCTTCATCCAACATTATCAAAACAGATGGATGATATTGAAGAGAAACATAGGGCTCTTACATTAAGAGCCGAAAAACGCCGGGACCACCATAAAAATGCAATAGAAACTGTATTCGCTGCACAGGAAAAACAGATACGGGACGAATTTTTGGTAAGTATTTTTAAGTCACAACCAGTATTCTTTGTATAATTTAGTATTTTATTCTTATATTTTATATAATGTAGAACGACAGACATAGACTGAGGACAATGATGATAGAAGAGCTAGAAATGAAAAAAAGTCAACTTAAGAGGGAGTATTATAAGAGTAAGTATTTCTTTTTTTTTTCGTAAAATTAATGTTGCTCTTGTGTCTATTTCATTTTTAAAATCTTTTTGCTCCTATTTAACGTCAGAACCTGAGGATAATCTACTGGATTTGGTGATGAAAAAAATAGAAGGAACACCATTCGATCCAAATTATAAAGTAGTTAATAAAGGATCAGATGTTCGTATATCTTCACCGGTTTATAGCAGATTACAAAATGGCCAACCACGTTCACCGAAAACTAATATTGACATTCAATATAGTCAATTATTCAATTTAAATATCCTTTATTATCATAACCCATTCTTTAATCTAATAAATTCTATTTGTTGTTTGCAATTATCCTTAACCATTATTTTGCTATTTCTATACGTTTCCATCCGACAGGGACCAATGAAGAAGAAATGGCAGAGGATTTAATGGCAATGCAATTGCGGAAACCAATAAGACCGCAACTACCGCCACCACAGCCACTACAAATTTCTTCATCTTCCCAGTTTCATCCCATGGCTTCACACCCTAACATAATTCCACCTACTTCCAGTGTTAGTATCTCCTCCTCTCGACGGAAAAAAGAACCTCGAGCAAAACGAATTCGTCGAAGTTCTAACCGAGAAAGTGTTTCGGAAACACGTAGGGAAACGCCTATTATTTTAGCACCCAAAGAGTTTCCTAAGGCTTCTTTAAGAGAGTTGTCCAAAGTTCCTAAAACGGTTCATAGCAGTGAGTTACCCAAAGAGTTACCCAGAATATTATCATCAAAAGAAGTCAGTTTGTACAGAGAGGCTCCCAGGGAACAAGTAATTCGGGAAGTGATTAGAGAACGACCTAGGGAACCACTACGAGAGGGTTCAAAAGATTTATCTATAGATACATCGAAAAATCCTATTCTTGATCGATGGCTTGCTGAAGGCACAGAAGATAATGATTCAGATCAATAATATAATCGTTATCATAACATTTGTTATATATATATAAATAATAATAATAATAGAATATAATAATTTAGGAAATAAATTGGACTTTGGAGAAGAGGTAATAATACATCATCTTTTTCAGTTAGGGATTAAATATAGAAGATATATTATAATCGTATTCGCTTTCACAAGACAAAAAAAAACCCAAAAAAAAAAATGTTTGGATCTGTAATATTATGCTTGAAAAGACAAATATGTGTCTTTTTTGTAGGGAGGGTTAAATAATATTTGTATTTTATATGTTTTCTTTTGCACAACTGCAAAGCTATTATTTTATTGTTTTTTTTTTTTTTTGTTTGGATACTAGCATATATGCCATATATACATGGAAATGACAGGTTTTGGAAATGACTGATTTTGGAAATGAATTTCTGTTACCCAGTACACGGATAAACTGGTAATAGTACTAAAAATACTATTGTTGCTGATAATCACATGATGTTGTCCATCAAGCATAGCATAAAAAAATTTAACTTTTATCCACTATAGTAGTCACCTTTTGTATAATCCTACTTTTCCTCAGATTACTAAAAAAAAATATTAAATTTATATATGATCACGAATTAGAAATTATAAGAAATATGAACAGTATTTATAATTATAGTCAAAACTATAATTTTAATACAGTATTATAATTTTAATTGCAAAATACAAGCTATATAAAAAATTAATTATTTATGCAGATTCTAATATGATTATTTAATAAATTATTATATACAGATGGTTTAATACTTAAATTATTGAATAATATTTGGATTTTATTATAAAGTTATGTAAATAGTTTCTATTAACTGGAATATTTAATATATGTAAATTATAAATATTTTTCATTTTTATATAAGTTTTATTTAATTTTTATCAAAAATATATTATTTAAAGTAATAATTGAATAAATAAATTTAGTAATTTATTAAGTATTTATTTTAATATAATATTATAATATTAGGTAAAATTATGTTGATACTTATATTAAATTTACTTAATTTTAATTATAAAAAAATAAGTATATTTACTGTAACTAGACTAAACTAATATATATTAAATGTTTAAAAATATGCAAAAACTTATAATAAAATTTTAATTAGAATTTTAAATTATTTATATTACTTTATATTGTATTTTAGTAAATATTAAAGCTAAAAATAAAATTATAATATATAGGATCTAAATATATAATATAAAGATTATAAAATTTTCTATATATAATTTAGTGTTTGAAATTGTATATTTAAATATATTTGAATATTTATATTAATTTAAAAAGTGTATTTAAATATAATGTTAATAATTTTATTTGAATAATAACAACAAATTTATCTGAACGAATAATTATATAGTTTATTCAAATAAATTAAATAAATTAATACATAAACTTAAATTTTTAATTTATTTATTAATTATTTACAATATTACAAAAATTAAAATTCAAGTAGAAAGAAAATAATCAAAATATTATCTAATACATTTATATTTTACTTTAAAAAAAGCATTTGTTCAATTAAATTAATTAATATTTATTTACTTATTAGTAATGTTATTATTAATATTTGAAAAAAGTAGTTTTAAAAAGAATAGTTTTATAAAAAAAGTCAATCCATTTATTATATTCCATTTTTTTCTGTAAAAGGCTCATATTTTCAGAATTAATAACCTTATATTACAGAATTTATCAATTTATTTATATTTTCCATAAATGGATCTGTGAAAGGCTTATTTTTACAGAGTTTTTATAGAAATAATGGATAAAATTTTTTATAGGATGGGTATTATACAAATATCCAAATATTTATATGCAAAATTAAAAACTTTTTTCATGTAATTTTCATTACTCAAAAAAGTCTATTTCTTTTCCTTCTTCATTTATTTCAAAGTATTATCAATTTTTTTTACTATCTGCAGATTTATTAGAATATATATAAATCATATTTAAAATTGATTTTTGAACTTTATACTACTGTTTATTAGAATTAGTATATATATTTCATAATTGGTATCATATAATTTGTATCATATGATATATTATAATTAGATTAAATATTTTTATATTATCTTCCTTATGAAAAATATTTATACTTAAAAATATACTTAAAATTTTATTAAAATATACTTAAAATAAGTATCAATTTTAATTTGTAATATACTTATACTATACCTAAAATATACTTAAAATACTCTTGAAATATATTTTTAATATACTTGTATTTTATCTAAGTACTTTAAAAATTATACTTATATACTTAAATTAGAATTTAAGTACAATATAAGTGTATTTTTACATGTTTAAAATGTAATTTATTGAAAATAAATCAAAATGTGCCTATTTATTAAAAAAAACTAAACTAAATGCTATGGTGAAAAAATTGATTTAAATTGATTTCAATTTTCTACTTTTTAATTGCTTTTTACAACTTGTATGATTCATATAAATCCTCCTTAATATAATACTCCATAAAAGAAATAGTTCATGTATGTGGTTTCCAAAAATTACCAACAATAATTTGAATAAAAATTTCATTATTGATGAATTTTAAATAATTCTTTTAAAAAAAGCTTTTTATGAAGAAAAAACAATACAATAAAATGATTAATGGGACCAATCCAAAGCAAGGAGCTAAAAAAAGTCGGAATAGTTTTGAAATAGAGCTGATTACTTCAATTGATGATGCCTATACATATTTTTATCGCACAGTTTGCTGTAAACTTTATATATTTACAGTCTACGTGCTTTTATCTGATTAAAATCAGAATTAGATTTGGTAATTTTCCGAATTCGATCTTATCATTTGTTGAACCAACTTTTTACTCTTAAGGTGAATTTTATTGAAGAATTATGCATTATATATGTAACAAGAATATGTAGAATTTTAATAAATAACTGAAATTAGTTTATTGAAATAGATTTATTATATATTTTTAGCAATGAATCACGAAAAATTTTCATAAACATAAGACAATAAATAAAATGTTTTTTAATTAACCTGCAACTTAACAATAACTTATCATTATGTTTTATGAAATATGCATTATTACTTGTTTGATGTAGGACCCGGCTCGGCAATCTTTGTAAATGAAAGTTCTTGTCCAATCTTGTAATTCAAAATCTAGATAAACCATAAACAAAGAATAAGACGTTTAATTAATAAACAATAAAAGACATAATCAAACATCACATTATCGTTCTGACCTTATCCCAGTCTAATTTTTGACGCGTCAATGGAAGAGAACGTCTCAAACTTTTGAATGTATTTTCTGATAATTCAATATAAGATTCATTAACGGCTGTTTGATATTCATTCTCGGCTTTTCCAATTAATCTAACATACGCGGCTGCTGCAGCGGCTGGATTCTATAGAAATTCAATTACACTTAATTAGTTATTTTACGTATATAACGTCTATTTTAGTTTATATTTACCTCCGCAGTTGTTGAAGTTTCAACTTCAATATCTTTATTAGAATCCAACTGAACATTTCCATCTTCATAATAATGTACGTTCACCTTTATGTTCCCTTTCAATTTACCAGATTCTGGATTTACGACCCACGTTGAACGCCATCGACCATTCCTATAAATAGTATATGAAGTTTAGTAATTGCAAGGGTCTTATAATCTTAAGAAATAACATACCAAAAATTAGATGAGTTATATTTATTATCCACAATAGCAATTGTTATTGTTCCATTCTCTGTAGAATAAACACTTGATACACCATCCTTGAAATGGTCTTCAACATAATTTGTAATAGCAGCTTCTACCGCAGTTCTAAGCGGTTCGGTTTCTTCAACAGGAGGGCGTGGTTCAACTTCTGTAGCTCTCTCAATAATTCAAATTTTTATAAATTAGACATTGATAACGCATAGATCAACAAAATTACAGCATATTAATTGAATTATAACCTTACTCGATTCATATGATCAAACCTGAAAGCTTGGTGAGATTTCGGATCTAAATATAAATCATTTTCGATTTGTCCGAACTTAGATACTAAAACCTGGAGTCGCAATAATTATTTGTTCTGAATAAAGAACTTCCAATGAATTTATGTAAATTGAAAAGTTAAGAAGTTACTTGATTTTCTTGACCAGGAAGTTTTACAGTGATATACTGTTCGGTATTGTATTCCCGTAAGGCATCCAGAATTCCAGTTTGAAGTGCGGGGTCATCGGCCATCAAAACACGAACATCTAAGTAATAAAGATGATTTAACAATTTGATTAAATTGCTAAATTTAATTATTTGAAAAAAAAGAACTTTAATTTAAAAAGTCACCGAAGCGAACCAAAATTAAAATTATGCTAAAAAAAATTATTATAGAACTGAATGCAAGTTATAGTTCCCGACTAACTACTGGAACTTATGAAAACCTTCATTCATGTTTATGAAAAAATTACAGAGTAAATACGTCACACACATCCAATTATTTTTTTAAACTAAGAAGACTTACCGTTGAAAACTTCATCAGCTTCACCAGGTGGACTACTTAGTAAGAAATTAGTGACGATTTTGAGTTTTTCTTCCGTACTCAAATCCCTCAATTCTTCCATGTTTAAGAAAGAAATTTTGATTTCATTAAGTGATAAGAATGTCAGTACATTTTCGCATTATCACATTCTTACTATCACAATACTATTCCATTTGTTTATTATATCATACAATGACGCATTTTTAAATTAAAAAAAATGGTATGGTGCCGTTTTTTGTCATACTTATGATAAAGCTTTAGATTGATTTATCGTAATATCTGATAAAAGTATAAATTTGTAACCATTTCCTTATCCGGTTATCAGCATTTATACGATTGTATGTTGTCGGTGTACATTTAAATTTGATTTTCAATGTTGATCAATAATTTTTTGTTTAGCCAATGTTTAATAGTGATCCACTTTGACAATTTAGAAGTCTCAAATTACAAATATCAAATTTTCTTCGTTTCATTTGAAAAGATATTGACACTAAATATCTTTAAAAATGGAACGTTCTTCTACGCATAAACGTCCTTTGTTAGAAGAGTCATCTTTACCTTTACCTGACTCCAATAACATCCCTTTGTCTGAATCACAAGCTAAACGAATCAGACTTACTCTACCTCCAATTTCCTCTGCTTTTCCACCGCCAAATGTCTCAAACTCTTACTCATCATACAAACCAGCTTTTACTCCATCAATACACGATAATAACAACTTTATTTTACCTCCGTACTCACCAATGTTGTTGAATCCACCACATGAGTTACCTTCGATTGATTCATTATGTTCGTTACCTCCTTTAACTAATTTTATTCAACCAACTGCGCCTCCAGTTAATCCCATGTCAGTTTCAGCCATTCTTTCAAATGAAGAACCATTTGCTAGGAGAGCTGATACTAATAGCAACGAAATTGGTCCACTCGATTATCGTACGTCGCCAAGTATGAGCCCTGCTACCAAAGAATTATCTTCCTCATTACCTACACCTCTCAAAGAAGCTCAGGCCATCATTGAGGGGATGAGCGAAATTGAAAATATGCATAGAAAGCGACGGATGGAAAGGGAAAATAACATTGTTAGAGATCAAGATCAGAGTGGAATCGAAAATGTTAATCAAAATTTCGCATCCAATGACAGCGAAGGGGATGACGGAGTTGAAGGCGAAAATGAAGGAGAAAACGAAGGTGAATATGATGAGGAAGAACATGATGAGGAAGAAAATGGGTATGACAATGAGCTGCATAGTTATGATTATCATGATAAATCAAGCTTCATGGAACCACAAGTAGTTGTTGAAAATGATGAAACTTTAAACATGGAAGGTCGAGAGGAACGCCATCTAGGTATGATATTTTCTTTGGTTTTTAAGTAATAGAATGATCTGAGTAAAAAAGTAACTTAAATATTTTAAATATGTTTTTTTCTATTAAAATTATCATTCAAATTAGGCCATGTAATCTATAATCCCAAGGAAATTTTGCCTCCACTCGAATTTCATGAAAACGGACTATTAGAAATATGGATTGAGTCGAAGTATTTGACTTGGTTTAATGAGAAAGTTAGAAAGCACTTTTTATGGGGCACAGATGTATATAGTGACGATTCTGATGTTGTAGCAGGTATTAACTTATCTGATTTTAATTTTTGTCATTTAGATTATTTAATAATTTGACAACTTTTTTACTCTAAAGTACTCATCCATACTGGTCACTATACCCCTCCTCCGTCTATATCTGAATGGACTCCTAATTATCCCAATCATGATTTATGTGTTACGATTCGTGTCTTGCCCAAATTAGTCCAATATACCTCAACTGTGCGTGAAGGATATAAAAGCCGCTCATGGGGTAATCATCATGGCGTTAGTTATAAGATTGAAAGTGTTCGCAAGATGAAGGTAAGGATTTTATATTCCTGCATTAAGATAAATGATTCTGTAATAATGTAAAACTTTACAGAAGGGAGAAGCTATTGGTCGATCCAGAGGTAAAGGAAGAAAAGAACGGTTGCGAAGATTTCACGAAATGAGAAAGCGAGCATTTAGTGAAGTTCCTGATAATCCGTCCGATATATACGTTCTCGTTTTTAACAATGAAGGAGATCCTTGGTATATATTTTTATTGTTTATCATAACTATAAATATAATCCGTATTTATTATTCTCCCGTTTTAGCTATAAATATAATCAGCACATGATGACGGATGAAGAAGAACTTCGAAAACAGCTCGAGACAAACGTCTTATATCTGGAAAACGATGAAGAACGGTAAACAAAAAAATCATTTATTATATTTATCGAATTATATTTAGTAAGATAAACACAAATATATAAATAATAATATTTGTTAATTAGGTATGAGATATCATATCATGCTGAACGTAGAAAATATCGGTTTGCTATTGTAGCAACAAATGCATATTTAGGAACACGAACAATTTTCAAAGACCAAGAAGCAACAGTCTTTCCTCTTCAAGGATCTAACCTGGATGAATTGATCCGCGATGATTTAGAGTTGAGGGAAATGACATGGAATGTTGTTGGAGTTATTGTTGCTGATAAAACTAACCCACAACATAGCTTGCTTTGTATATCAAAGCGAGTGTATTGGAGACGCAAAACCGAATGCAACGGATAAAAAAACTTGCTTTTTTCTTTGTTATCGATAAAAAAACGAACTTTTTTACTTAAAAAATTTCTTATGTTTCAATACTATTACTTTTTTTGTAGACGGAAACTCCCAAGAAAATATATTAGTGAGTTTCCTGTGGACAATCATTTTATATATATATATGTCTAATGATTATTCGTAGTTAATTAATTGTTTTTATAGCTATTATCAAAAAAAAGTATGTAAATACTTGCAAAACAATTATAAGGTAAAGAAAAATAGATATGTAAAGATTTATTATTAGAAGTTAAATCAAAGTCTCAATTAAAATTTACATTAAGTACAACTTTACCAACAGTGTTACCAGACTGAAGTAAAGTTAGAGCTTCAACAAGCTGATCAAATTCAAATTCATGACCAACGTGAGGAGCTTCTAATTGCAAAGTTTGCATATTATTAAAAATTTGATTTAATCTTTCAGCTCTTTCATAAATATGAATTAAATTGAATCCAAGAAGCTAATTAAATAAATAAAATAAAATAAATGTTAAAAAATATTACATTAAATATTAATATACTATTTAAAATCGAATATTACCGATTTATTTTCTTGTATGATTTCCATTGGATCAATTTTAGGTCTCCAAATGTATTTCCAACCTAGTTTTAACCATTCAAAAATATTCCAGATAGGATGTAAATTACCGGTAGGAGTGAAACTAGCTGAACCAAACAACACCAATCTTCCTTCTTTAGCTAATAAATTATAATTTGGCCAAAACCATTTGCCCATAACACTATCTAAAATAATATCATAACCATCTTGTTCTTGTAATCCTATTCCCAATAAAGCTTGTTTCGATCTTTTTTCAAAATCACTTGAAGGATCACGTAATATAAATGTAAAATTTTCATTTGCTGCATATTTCTGATTAAGTAAATCAAGTTTAGAAGGTTTACCCACTGTACCCACAACTTTAACATTTTTGTATTTTGAACATATAGAAAGTGCTAATAATCCACATCCTCCTGCTGCTGAATGAACCAAAACTGTTTTATTATCACTAATTCCACCTAATTCTGTTAAAGCGTAAAATGATGTTAATGCTTGAACCTATTTTTTTAAAAAAAAATTTTTTTTTTTATTAGTAAATAATAACAATTAATTAATCATAGTTATTCTTTATTTACCACATAAGCAGCGGCCTGTTGATCTGTCCAATTATCGGGAGTTTTCTTAACATATTCTTCACTGACGTTCAAGAAAGTAGCGAATCCACCAAATCTTGTAGCACCATATACTCTTTTACCTAACCATTCACTTTCTTCCAGGTCATCTCCTACACTTTCAATTATACCACTAAATTCTAATCCTGGTATAAATTTTCCTTTGGGCGTAGCAGAATAAAGGCCAAATATTGAAAAAATATCCGCAAAATTTAATCCTATACTTTTCACTTGTACCCTTAAGTGTTTTGGAGGGGGCGGTGGAAGTAAATCATCTTCCAGTACTAAATTTTCAAATGTACCTTTGGTTGGGACTGACCAAACTTTTCTAGCTATTGAAGTCATTTTTTCAATAAGAAAACGCGCGAAAATTTCTCGTCTTTATATAACCTCTATAACCTCGAAGCCAATGATACGTAATATTTATGATCGTCGGCTGATCTTCGCATGCCACACAAATTTGAACATTGTTAACTTTAAATGGAAAAAAAGCATTTCATAAGCACATATCAATTTGGCACGTGTTTCTAGTTAGATTAATCAAGTAGTGAAAACATAATTCACGCGTGCATAATTCACGTGTTAAACGTGTCTTCAATTTTATAAAAGCATATAAAAAATATCATGCGCATTTATTAACAATTAAAACTTTCCCCGAAACTCATAACTAACAATACCGTTTTTTCCAAGAATCTTTCTTGCATATTCTATCGCATCAGGGGCAACATTATAACATTCTTGCAAGACCAAATGTTTCAAAGTACTACCACATTGTCTGACCAAAGCTCCAACACCACTTCCAGTCACGTTTTTACACCATGTGAAGTTAACTTCCCTTAAACTTCTGCAATGCGAACCCATTTCTTTTAAGGTTTCATCGGTAATGTTTGAATTTCTTCGTAAATCAATCACTTCCAATAAAGGCCCACAATCTGACTTTATGACATTTATAACGCCAGCATCGGTAATTCCTGGAGATTTTCCAATATATAGTACCCTTAACTGTTTGCAGTAATTTCCAATAAGTTGCATTGTCACATCCGTCAAATAATTATTCGACATAATGTCGAGTTCTTTCAATTTACTGCATGATTGAACCAGTTTTCGGATACAACTGTCCGTTAAACTTTGACATTCATTCAAGCTAAAGGTGCATAAATGTATGCAATTTCTAGCAAATGTCTCAAAAGCATCATCTAATGTAAGATATTCTTCCGTCGGTAAATCACCTCTTATCCGTAAGAATTTCAAACTTACAAAATTTTTCATATTATCCAAAGACTTGGTGGTTAATCCACTAATTCCAGCTAAATCAAGTCGAACAAGCTTCGGAAATAAGATATTAAAATAATCGATCACATTTCCCATTACTTGGTCACAACATTGTAAGTTGATATCATTCAGTTTTGAAGCCTTATTATCCACAATTGCTGGATTGAACGCCTCTGTGGTTAGACTATTACAGAACGATAGATTTAAAGATTCCAGGTGCCTACATCTCGATAATATGACAGATAATGTCATATTAGTGATGTCCGATTTTGAAAAATCAATTGTATTCAAATTTAAACCAATCGTCTTGACAAACGCTCTTATGTTCTCATCAGAAATATTTGAGTCTGACAGAATTATGCACTGTAAGCGGTCACACGGAATTTCTCTAAGAGCCAACAATGCTTTATCTGTTACTTTTGGAGAATCACCACAAATCAATTTTCTAAGGCGTCTTCCACCTCGTTTAGCGTAAACGCGGATTGTCTGGTCATCAAGAGCATTAGTATTACGAAGTGGTCTCTCAAAATTTATATCACGCCATAAAACTTCTGACGAAAGGATATAATTCCGCCAAGTTTTGGACACGGCTGTAGCTTTGCAAAGACTTGCAAACGGAAGTCTCTTCAAAACATCATCTCTAAGTTCGGGCGGAAGAAAGCGCATCATGTCACATGTTTTAGAGGAATCAGACTTCTTAAAGGATGTTTAATGGTGAGTAATAATCTTACATATTTGATTCTTTTATTATCAAAATACCAAACTTACAAGAAATTTGTTTTGTAATTCTTCACTCTGTTTTTGTAGCAACTGTATTAAGTAAAGTTAGTGAGACTCTGATTATATTGGTGATAACTCGAAATAAAATGTTACCTTATAATATTGGTCTTTGATTTTAACATGTGATAATCCAATATTGTAAATTTTGATTGCCTTATCTGCCTGATTCAGTAATCTATAAACTTTGCCAGTACGAAGATAAGCCTAAAAAAAATGAAGTAAAATCTTGATCCTAACTTAATATTTAGATAAATTCGTCCACAATTAATAATTACTTTTACTGCAGTTTTGTCCAATTTAATCATGGACAACGCGTCTCGTAATGCATCATCTAATTGGCCAAGTTTTTCCAACGTTGAGGCGCGATAGTCGTAGAATGGGATACAAGTCGGTACCAAATTAATTGCCTTGAGTTAAAAAATTAAAACCGAATTAATTAGACAAGAATAAATCAAAAGATAAAAATAATTATTTAACAAACTTTCGTAAGTAGTTCTTGTGCTTTTGCAAGCTCGTTATTCTTTAAAGCATCTTTTGCTTCATTAAAACACTGCAAAGCGTATTTTTGGTTTATCTCTTGAGTCTCATTTCCTCTTTTATACATTTTATTATAATACTTCGTTAGCTTCTCTAGAAGACTGAAGACTGAAAACGCAAGTTTAAATTCGCGTATTTCGGTTACGTGTCAATATCAGTAGATATCCGCAGATAATCAGCTCAGATTTGATTGGATGATAGACAAATATAAAATAACCCCAAAAAAAAATTTTTTTTTTCAGAGCAGCTCTGTATCATTATAGGTAATTAATTAAGGTTAATAAAGTTGTTTCCAGACATAGGAATTCTTCGAATAATATTTTATTTAATATAATTGTTTATTTTAGAAAAAGCCTAATAATACCATGGGAGGTAGTTATTTGATTGCAGGCCGCAATGTATCGTCTCATTATGTAAGAAAATTTTGTATTAACTTTCGGGCGAAAAAATGGACGAACAATAAATATATTAAAAATATATTTGCTATTATAGCTTGCGATCACAACATTGGCAACATTTGGTCTTGGAGCCTTTGCTATATCTAAAAGGATTAAGTCAAAGAAACCAAATACTCCACCAATTAATGCATCTTCTGCGGATGAAGAAGCTTTCATCAAAGAATTCTTAAAGCATGCTGAGGAGGAAGAAAAAAAAAAGTGACATCATTAATTTCAACTTTATTAGTGATTGGTATTGGTATTTTTCTTCAAAAAACAACGTTCAAATTCACACATTTACAATTTTTGTATTTTAAAGAATCAAATAAATTGATTTAATTTTATAATTTATTATTAGATGGGATATATAATTTATCCCTCTAAACTTAGTTAGAAAAGCATTGATCGTAAATTATAATTGCCAATATAATCAAAATAGAGTTCTCTCAATATTCTTTATTTTACTTTGTCTCCGTATCACTATAATTTTTTCCAAACGGCGAATTTATTAGTCCATAATACCGGCAGGATTAAGATCCAATAAAGGTTTTTTATTGATATAATGATACCAAATATAGATCCGCCGGCAATTTATTTTCCTGTGACTCTATTGGATGATTCAATTATTTCTACTGCAATATAAATACATATAATGATGGCGGATATTTTTTGAATTTTTCTATTAAAGTGAAATTACATATCAAAATTGACTTACCTGTTCACGCCCAACGTTGTGCAAAAAGTCCATTTTTAGTACTTGCGTTACACTAATGCAGAACTCTCAACGAAACGAAAATACATCTACTACATCGTCGGCAGCGTTTGCAGATCTAACCGCAAAAGAAAACAGAGACATCCCAAAGACTCGTTCTCGGAGAAAAACATTGGAGAAAGACGAGAAACCATTAGATGTTTTAATTGATCCCAAAATGCCGAACAATAAACCTAGAAATAGAATGTGGATGAGAACAACTGCCTTTTTAATATTCTTAGGCTGCGTAATATTATTTTTTGTTCCTGAAGAAAAATTTAACTTCAAATCAGATCGTAAGTTATCATTTAAAATTTTTTATCATTATTTAATGATTGGAGTTTAGTTACGTACTTGCTGTCCATATCTCATCTCATAAAATTCAAGCCTAACCCAAGTCCCATTACTAAGAATTAAAATTCTTAAGACCTTTTCTCAAGTGAGATTTGGAGATTTTTGGATTTAGGATATTTTCTAGTATTAGTGATAAATATAGTTACGGCAATAACAAGCAGTTATAATTTTAACTAACTTTATTCTTATACTTTGTCAGTCGGTTTACCACCAGAAACAGATCCAGATCCGAGTTCTAATATAAATGTAGATTTAGAACACTCCAAATCAGATAATATAGAAGACATTACATCAATAAATCCTGCTGTTCCTACGAAATCGAAAGTAAGTAGTCCTAAAAAGGCTACAAAAACTCCATCTTCAAAAATCACCTCAAAACATTGTACTGTGCCTCATCCTGGTCGTCCGCTTGTTCAATATGCGCTTATGATTGACGCTGGGTCTACAGGTTCACGCATACATGTATATCGATTTAACTATTGTAAAGCCTCACCAGAACTAGAAGATGAGATTTTTGCTCATATAGAACCAGGCCTTTCTTCGTATGGGGACAATCCGGAAGCAGCCGCAAATAGTTTGAATGATTTGATGGAAGTAGCTCTCAAGAATGTTCCAAAAGAGTTACAACATTGTACTCCAGTAGCTGTTAAAGCAACAGCTGGGTTACGCTTGCTGGGACTTAAAAAAAGTGAACGTATTTTGGAAGCTGTTAGAGAGCATTTAGAGACAAATTATCCCTTCCCTATAATAGAAAAAGATGGTGTCGTGATCATGGACGGTAAAGATGAAGGTATGTAAAGAATTCTAAAATAAGTATATATCAAACAAAAACGAAGATTCATAAAAAGTTTTGTTATTTATAGGTGTTTATGCATGGATTACGGTAAATTATTTATTGGACAGATTAGGTAGCGGAAAAAAATTGCCTACAGCTGCAATATTTGATCTCGGAGGTGGTTCAACTCAGATCGTTTTTGAACCTGAAGCAAATTTTGAAGTTGCACCAGGAGAACATAAACACGAACTAGAGTTTGGTGGCCACAAATATATTCTTTACCAGCATTCATATTTGCATTATGGACTCATGGAAGCAAGAAAAGCAATTAAAAGATTCATGGCGAAATTATGGATTTCTACACCTAATAAGAAAGATGATTTAATTTCCGGAATATCATCTGAACTGGATATTTCAGAAGATCATATTCCAAATCCTTGCTTGCCCAAGAATTATACTGAAGAATTTTCACTTTCTGATATTTCACATTCTAGGGATGAAGATTCTATAACTATTGTTGGCACTGGTGCAGGTCACGCTCAATGTAGATTTATTATTGAACAAGTACTTAACAAAACAAATGAATGTCCGCTATCTCCATGTTCATTTAATGGGATATATCAACCATCACTGGAAGTAACTTTTTCCTTACATGATATTTATGCATTTTCGTATTTTTATGATCGAATGAGTCCCTTAGGAATACCGGCTGATTTTTCCCTTAAAGAACTCAGAGATTTAACAGATGCAGTGTGTGCAGGAAATGTCAGTCAATTTAGTCATTTACCGGAAGCTATGAAAGAAATTAAAAAGAATCCACATTATTGTATGGATTTAACATTTATTTATGCATTATTACATGTTGGATATGAAATACCACTTGATAGGGAAGTAAAAATTGCTAAAAAAATTAAAGGTATTGAAACTGGGTGGTGTCTGGGAGCTGCTATTGCTGTATTGGATCATAAACTATGGTGTAAATGATTTGTTTATACTATTAATTTTTTTTTTTCTTACTATATTATTATTTGAGAAGGAATTAATATTTATATTAGTTAGAGGTTTCATCAAATAACAAGACTTTATTGTTACGAACAATGGTTGTTATTTATACACTTTTTTTATTATCTTTGAATAATTTATTAATAATAATAATAGATTAAATATACACTAGTTATTCATAGATCCCTTCCAATACGGATTCTGATAAATTAAAATAAACAAGAAATGTAGTTATTTAATGAATACAACTTGCAAATGACTTACCCGGCAAGGATTGACATCAATTTACTTGATAGTTACATTACTGCGAATAGTCACGTGATATAAGAAGTAAAAATAAATATACTAACTATATCAGAGAAAGAACTATTCGCTAACTATTTTGCTAACGGAGCTACCTTTTGACCCAAAAATATCAAGGTTTCTCCATTATCCGAGTATCCGATCCGAATTTATCCGGATGTCCATTTACAATTATCCGGATACCCGATCTGTTTATCCGATCTGAATTTAACCGGACGGATAAACGGATCACCAGATTGAAACAGAGCCCGATTCGAAAATGAATACATTTTGATTTTTTGAAGATATTTCAATAAAAAAAAAGTAAGGAAGAATTAAAAACGGACTAATGTTAATCCGGACGGATGATAAATTTTTATTTTCTATTTTTAATTTACATTGAGATGTAGTCTTGGAAAATTAAATTCGGATTGACGGATTATAAGAGAATTGAGAGAATTGTTATATATGTTATATTTGAATAATTGAATTTATTGAGCATATAAAATGAAATCGCGTATAAAAACATATATGAAAAAAAAATTTCTTTAAAATTTACTAAAAATATAAAAATACACTTAAAATTGCAATTCAATATACTTTAAGTATATAAATACGTTTTAAGTAAATTTTTTTTTCATAGTGCATATACATTTATTTATTCATAGAAGAAATCCTGATTATTAAAAAACGAATCAGTTCTATATATTATTAATCAAAGAGAGCATCAAGGGTTCTTATTTATCTAATGACTTGCGGACATTATTATACATTGAATACTTTATATTAATTCGTTAAATTATTTATGTAGATCACCCCAAAAATTGATAGTTTATTTGTTTACCTTAATTTTTTCTTTTTTTTCTAATGATATATGAAATTATTACAAATCAAAAAAATTAATTACTCATCAATTTTTGAAAAAATTATAAATATTATCATTCTTTTTTTGATTTTTTTTCTAACGAAATAATAATTAAGATTAATAATTACAAAAAAATGACTACTCCTGATATTACCCTTTACACTGTTGGAACTCCTAATGGGGTAAAAATAAGCATCGTCCTTGAAGAATTAGGAATTTCTTACAAAGCAAGAGAAATTTCTTTTAAAGATGAAGAACAAAAACAGCCTTGGTTTTTAAAAATCAATCCAAATGGCAGAATTCCTGCTATTACCGATCATAGTAGAGGAGATTTTCATGTATTTGAAAGTGCTGCAATTATGATCTATCTTTGTGAGCATTATGATCCCGAAGGAAAATTATTGCCAAAAGATCCTGATTTAAGAAGTCAAGTTATTCAATGGGTAAATAATATCTTCTTTTTTTTATGCAATAAAAATAAATTGATGAATTAAAATATTAATTTTCATAACTATAAAATAAATAGATTATGTTCCAAATGGGAGGTCTTGGACCTATGCAAGGACAAGCTGGACACTTTAATAGGTACGCACCAGAAAAAATTCCATACGCCATTAAACGATATACCGATGAAACCAAAAGACTTTACTCCGTTTTAAATGGTGCTCTGGAAGGTAAAGAATATTTGGTAGGAAACAAATATACTTTAGCGGATGCTATAAGTTTTCCGTGGGTCAGAGTTCATTTCCTTTCCGGTGTATCAAGTATCGATGAATTTCCAAATTTAAAAGCTTGGGTTGCACGTATTAGTGCAAGACCTGCTGTTCAAAAAGGTTTAAATGTACCCACTCCTGACAAATTTCAAGAAATTCTTGATAATCCTGAAAAATTGGATGAGTTCGTTAAAAATGCTCAAAATTCATTTAAGTGGAAATCAACAGATGAAAAATAGGTTATATATACAAACATGAACGTGAGTTACCCTTCAATCAATTTTTCTTTCTTACGTTTTTTATTATTTTTTATTTTTTTATTTTTTACCGGATGTATTTTATTTTTTATTTTGTAAACGTTATGTGAACACTGTAAATGTTGTCATATGAAGATTTATTATAAATAAAGTTATAATTTTGACTAAATTATTCATAATATTTATCTCCGTCCTAAATCCTAATTCTGGTCTACATAAATTCGATTGATATTAAGCCTTAAGTTTTAAGGTTATTTGGAGATTATTACTTTGAATAATTAATTAATAATAGATTAAAGTATAAAAATCATTTATTAGATCTTTTCCAATATGCTTTTGTAAAGGAATCGCCTATTATCTTGATAAATTAAATTTTATTAGTCCGGAACGTAGCGAAGAACTATATATGTTCTAGCAATGGTGGTACAAAATGTCCCGCTTGAGTCGATCATTTAGAAATTTTTATCATTTTTGTTCCACTTTATAAATTTATTACTTTGTAAGAAAGTACTAAATAGAATTTTATTGTTTTTTAAAAAAAACATATTTGTATAATCTCTTAACAGTACAAAGTGTGAAATTGTTTTTTTATTTTAATTGTTACAATTGTGATTAATTATTCTGATTTCTATCCTATTCTGTATTTGGACAAACTATTTCTAATTTAAAATTTTTTCTTCAATGTTGAGATGTAATCCCTGTAAAACAAGTCGATCCGTTTTTCATATTCCATCTTTTTTCAGTAAAAGGCTCATATTTCCGGAATTAATAACCTTATATCACGGAATTTATCGAATTATTTACATTTTCCGTGAATGGATCCGTGAAAGGCTCATTTTTACGGAGTTTTTACAGAAATAACAGATAAAATTCTTTATAAGGGAATGAGCATCTTCTGAAATAATCGATATGCTTGCGCAATAACATGGAAGCCTTGAACCTTGGCGAAAACAATGTTTAGTTCATAAAGATTTCAGGTCCAAACTTCTTTAATTTGAGGAAATGCTTAGTCGCAAAAATGTCCGGAATATGCAGCAGCAAATGTCGTTGATGTTCTCAACATGCTGAGAATAAGCTTAAAAATTGGATTTATCTCTTGAATCGGCGAATAAACTGGTTAAGGAGCTTGAGTCAGAACAAAAATTATCAGTGAGGATTTTCTAACAAACTTATTACAAAATAGTTCTGAAGGGCTAGCGATTTTAACGTCCGCATACATTGCTGGAAGTAAAACCTATGCTTGAAATCGTGGAGATCCTTCACGGTACTTTATTAAAACATGCGAGTGAAGTAAAACTAAATCCTATGAAATTACCTGCTTTTTCTTTTTTATTTTAATTTATTTTTATTTTTTATTTTTTTATTCCCTTTTTTTATTTTTTTTTTATTTCTAATACAAAGTTATGTACTTGTTTTGCTAATCTTGGATTCATTTTCCATAACTGTGGAACAGATATATTTGTCTTCGTATTCTTAAGATCATTAATTATATCATAATCTTCTATTTCTTCCTAAAATATATTAATATAATTTATAATTCATAACTGATAACAAACTTTTCCTTTAAGATATTCCAAAAACTAACTAGACCTATTCCTATAAAAAAGTCGATCAGTGTTTTATATCATATTTCCGGTTATATCACGGAATTTATCGAATCCGAGAAAAAATTCCTCCTTACTCTTTTTATGTTAGAATGTGAAATTTTCTTGAGATATCTTTTCCTACTTTGATAGTTCAAATTTTAGATTAAACCTTGACGTCATTAATTATCCTACATTCGCCAGTTCCGTTATGAAGATCGTCCCAAAAATTGATGATTGTTTATCTCGTTTTCTGATGATTTGAAATTATTACAAATCAAAAAAAAATTAATTACTCATCATTTTTTGAATAAATATTATCCCATTCTTTTTTGAATTTTACTTTTTTGTAATGAAAAAATAATTAAGATTAGCCAATTAGAATATTAATAATTAGAACAAAAAAAAATGACTACTCCTGATATCACTTTTTACACTGCTGTAACTCCTAATGCGATAAAAGTAAGCATCGTCCTTGAAGAATTAGAAATTCCTTATAAAGTAAGAGAACTTTCTTTTAAAGATGAAGAACAAAAACAGCCTTGGTTTTTAAAAATCAATCCGAATGCCAAAGTTCCTGCTATTACTGATCATAGTAGAGGAAATTTTCACGTATTTGAAAGTGGCGCGATTATGATCTATCTTTGTGAACATTATGATCCCGAAGGAAAATTATTGCCAAAAGATCCTGATTTAAGAAGTCAAGTTATTCAATGGGTAAATAATATCTTCTTTTTTTTATGCAATAAAAATAAATTGATGAATTAAAAAATTAATTTTCATAACTATAAAATAAATAGGTTATGTTTCAAATGGGAGGTCTTGGGCCTATGCAAGGACAAGCTATACACTTCAATAGGTACGCACCAGAAAAAATTCCATACGCTATTAAACGATATACTGATGAAACCATAAGACTTTGTTCCGTTTTGAATAGTGCTCTGGAAGGTAAAGAATATTTGGTAGGAAACAAATTTACTTTAGCGGATGCTATAAGTTTCCCGTGGGTCAGAGCACATGCTTTTTCTGGAATAGAAAGTATCGATGAATTTCCAAATTTAAAAGCTTGGGTTGCACGTATTAGTGCAAGACCTGCTGTTCAAAAAGGTTTAAATGTACCCGTTCCTGATAAACTTCAAGAATTGATGGATAATCCTGAAATATTGGATGAATTTATTAAACATGTTCGAAGTATATTTAAATGGAACTCAACAGATGAGAAATAGGTTATACTGTATATACAGAGGGAGGCCGAAATTACCCGGCCACTTTTTTTTGCATGTTGATATGTATATAAAAAAAATATAATTTTGTATTGATAATTACAATAAACAAATTTTCCATATTTCAATTGCTTCGTATCATTTCAGAATTTTTTGGAAATATTAGTTTATCATAATTTGATCAATATCCCTATAAAAAGTATTTTTATTAAAATATATTTAAAATATACTTAAATTTTATTTTATACTTAAAACATATAAAAATATACTGAAATGGAAAAATTAAATATAATTAAGTATGTATTAATTATAATTTGTGCAAATTTAACTTTAGTATATTTTAAGTATAAAATAAGAAAATCAAGTATATTTTAAATAGATAATAAGTATAAATACTTTTTTATTGGATTATTGTGAATTTACTACCATTTGTTTAAATCTAAAAGATGGAGAATATCTAAAGTGTAATTATCAGTTATATGACAAATATTGATTTCACAAATACAAAATTATCATTCAAATCCTTTTAATAAGATAAATGTAATGAATCTAGAATTATAAAAATCCAATTACTCTATTACCCTAAATATTTGAATAGTAACGAGATGTAGCCAATACTAATTCTAAAATATGTTAAGTATTAACAATGACTACCTTATGGCCCAAAATAGGAGAAAGAGAAATAATTTAAGGAACTCTTAGGAGATCAAAAATTGATAATTGCTTTACTGCACTCCTCATTTTTTGAAAAAAAATTATAAATATCATCACATTTTTTTTTTACTTTTATTTTTTTTGACGAATGAATAATTAAGATTTAATAATTAAAACAAAAAAATGACTACTCCTGATATCACTTTTTACACTGCTAAGTCTCCTAATGGGGTAAAAGTAAGCATCGTCCTTGAAGAATTAGGAATTCCTTATAAAGCAAGAGAAATTTCTATTAAAGATGATGAACATAAACAGCCTTGGTTTTTAAAAATCAATCCGAATGGCAGAATTCCTGCTATTACTGATCATAGTAGAGGAGATTTTCATGTATTTGAAAGTGGCGCGATTATGATCTATCTTTGTGAACATTATGATCCCGAAGGAAAATTATTGCCAAAAGATCCCAATCTAAAAAGTCAAGTTATTCAATGGGTAAATATCTTTTTTTTTTTACGCAATAAAATAAATTGATGAATTAAAAAATTAATTTTCATAACTATAAAATAAATAGATTATGTTTCAAATGGGAGGTCTTGGGCCTATGCAAGGACAAGCTGGATTCTTTAATAGGTACGGACCAGAAAAAATTCCATACGCCATTAAACGATATACCGATGAAACCAAAAGACTTTACTCCGTTTTGAATGGTGCTTTGGAAAGTAAAGAATATTTGGTAGGAAACAAATTTACTTTAGCGGATGCTATAAATTTCTCGTGGGTCAGAGTTCATTTCCTTTCCGGTATAGAAAGTATCGATGAATTTCCAAATTTAAAAGCTTGGGTTGCACGTATTGGTGCAAGACCTGCTGTTCAAAAAGGTTTAAATGTGCCCGTTCCTGATAATATTCAAGAATTGATGGATAATTCTGAAAAATTGGATGAATCTATTAAAAATGCTCGAATTGCATTTAAATGGAACTCTAATATGTGAACCTTTTTTTTTGCCGCATTATTTACGTTATGTAAACACTGTAAATGTTATCGTATAAAAATGTTTGTATTTTATAATAAATAAGGTGAATTTAGGACGAAGTTAGCAATAACTACAAATGACCATTATCCTCTCATCACGTTCATTATCTTTTGTATATAAAACAAGGTTTTATTTTAGCTACACAAATTCGATTGATATTAAGTAACTTTAATTTTAAAGGTTATTTGGAGACCATTTCTTTAATTACTTTGAATAATTAGACTATACATGTATGTATACAAATTATTCATAGTCTTTTCCGATATACTTTTGACGTGTATTTGCTTATCAGTTATTGATATTTTTCGGTTTTATTCGTATTGCAAAAATATATATATTTATATTACATTAACTGATTATATTTTAACAAAAATAGGTTTAAGTAGTTTAAATATCAAGTATTGCTAATAAATTTAATGTATTATTATAAAATTTTTGTTAAAAAGGATTATTTTTTAGATTTTTAATGAAAATTTCTATTGTTATTTTATTTTTATTTTTAATCACAAAGTGAACCAAGTTACAGTAAAAATTACAAGGACCCTATAAACTAAAGCAGAAAGTAACTATGATCAAAACACGTACTGAATTCATGTGTTGTCACCTTGGTCGAAAAAAGAGAATGCAGATCTTTGTCGGTGTTGTGGCTGAGATATTGTTTGTAACACTGTGTGACTATGATCGGAGGAAAAATTAATTGCGTTTTCCGATATAAATACCTGGATTGGACAGTAAAAGTAAAATTTCAACACTTTTTTAACACGATTAACACGATAATATCAAAATGGCAAATGAATGGATTAATTGGATCGAAGAAGCTATTGTTAAAGAACATTTAAAATATTATGAATACAATCAATTTAATGACATTCAACAAATTGGTAGCGGAGGTTTCGGAAAAGTGTACCGTGCAAAGTGGAAAAATTTTGAACATTTAGCGTTAAAATCTTTTATTAATCCTGAAAGCAACACCGTGAAAGAAATTGTTCGTGAGGTAATTATGAAATACGTAATGCATTTTCAATATTTCTATAACTTTTACTCTTTATTGTAATATTTAATATTCAAATTTACATAATTTAGATTAAATTACAACGAGATGCAGATTATAGTAATAATATTATTCGCTTCCATGGAATATCAAAATTTAAGTCAGGTATTATGAATATTATTTAATGATAACAAATTTATTGTAATATTCAAATTCAATTTAATATTTATTTCTTTTGTTCTTTAGAAAATCGTATGAACTATATGTTAGTAATTGAATATGCAGACGGTGGTACTCTTAGAAACTATTTGAAGAAAAGTTTTACTGATCTTACTTGGAATAATAAATACAATTTGGCGTACCAGTTAGCTTGTGGTGTATCATGCTTACATAATGAAGGAATTGTCCATAATGACTTGGTAATTATTTATTATTATTTAATCATTTTAATAGTAATGTTATATTTGCATTTACTTTAATATATACATTTTTAATAGCACTCAGACAATGTATTAGTCCATCAAAACACGATCAAATTGGCAGATTTGGGATTATCAAAAAGAATTGAAACGTCATCCAATTCCCAATCCAGAGTATTTGGATTGCTTCCTTATATNCTCAACAGATGAGAAATAGGTTATACTGTATATACAGAGGGAGGCCGAAATTACCCGGCCACTTTTTTTTGCATGTTGATATGTATATAAAAAAAATATAATTTTGTATTGATAATTACAATAAACAAATTTTCCATATTTCAATTGCTTCGTATCATTTCAGAATTTTTTGGAAATATTAGTTTATCATAATTTGATCAATATCCCTATAAAAAGTATTTTTATTAAAATATATTTAAAATATACTTAAATTTTATTTTATACTTAAAACATATAAAAATATACTGAAATGGAAAAATTAAATATAATTAAGTATGTATTAATTATAATTTGTGCAAATTTAACTTTAGTATATTTTAAGTATAAAATAAGAAAATCAAGTATATTTTAAATAGATAATAAGTATAAATACTTTTTTATTGGATTATTGTGAATTTACTACCATTTGTTTAAATCTAAAAGATGGAGAATATCTAAAGTGTAATTATCAGTTATATGACAAATATTGATTTCACAAATACAAAATTATCATTCAAATCCTTTTAATAAGATAAATGTAATGAATCTAGAATTATAAAAATCCAATTACTCTATTACCCTAAATATTTGAATAGTAACGAGATGTAGCCAATACTAATTCTAAAATATGTTAAGTATTAACAATGACTACCTTATGGCCCAAAATAGGAGAAAGAGAAATAATTTAAGGAACTCTTAGGAGATCAAAAATTGATAATTGCTTTACTGCACTCCTCATTTTTTGAAAAAAAATTATAAATATCATCACATTTTTTTTTTACTTTTATTTTTTTTGACGAATGAATAATTAAGATTTAATAATTAAAACAAAAAAATGACTACTCCTGATATCACTTTTTACACTGCTAAGTCTCCTAATGGGGTAAAAGTAAGCATCGTCCTTGAAGAATTAGGAATTCCTTATAAAGCAAGAGAAATTTCTATTAAAGATGATGAACATAAACAGCCTTGGTTTTTAAAAATCAATCCGAATGGCAGAATTCCTGCTATTACTGATCATAGTAGAGGAGATTTTCATGTATTTGAAAGTGGCGCGATTATGATCTATCTTTGTGAACATTATGATCCCGAAGGAAAATTATTGCCAAAAGATCCCAATCTAAAAAGTCAAGTTATTCAATGGGTAAATATCTTTTTTTTTTTACGCAATAAAATAAATTGATGAATTAAAAAATTAATTTTCATAACTATAAAATAAATAGATTATGTTTCAAATGGGAGGTCTTGGGCCTATGCAAGGACAAGCTGGATTCTTTAATAGGTACGGACCAGAAAAAATTCCATACGCCATTAAACGATATACCGATGAAACCAAAAGACTTTACTCCGTTTTGAATGGTGCTTTGGAAAGTAAAGAATATTTGGTAGGAAACAAATTTACTTTAGCGGATGCTATAAATTTCTCGTGGGTCAGAGTTCATTTCCTTTCCGGTATAGAAAGTATCGATGAATTTCCAAATTTAAAAGCTTGGGTTGCACGTATTGGTGCAAGACCTGCTGTTCAAAAAGGTTTAAATGTGCCCGTTCCTGATAATATTCAAGAATTGATGGATAATTCTGAAAAATTGGATGAATCTATTAAAAATGCTCGAATTGCATTTAAATGGAACTCTAATATGTGAACCTTTTTTTTTGCCGCATTATTTACGTTATGTAAACACTGTAAATGTTATCGTATAAAAATGTTTGTATTTTATAATAAATAAGGTGAATTTAGGACGAAGTTAGCAATAACTACAAATGACCATTATCCTCTCATCACGTTCATTATCTTTTGTATATAAAACAAGGTTTTATTTTAGCTACACAAATTCGATTGATATTAAGTAACTTTAATTTTAAAGGTTATTTGGAGACCATTTCTTTAATTACTTTGAATAATTAGACTATACATGTATGTATACAAATTATTCATAGTCTTTTCCGATATACTTTTGACGTGTATTTGCTTATCAGTTATTGATATTTTTCGGTTTTATTCGTATTGCAAAAATATATATATTTATATTACATTAACTGATTATATTTTAACAAAAATAGGTTTAAGTAGTTTAAATATCAAGTATTGCTAATAAATTTAATGTATTATTATAAAATTTTTGTTAAAAAGGATTATTTTTTAGATTTTTAATGAAAATTTCTATTGTTATTTTATTTTTATTTTTAATCACAAAGTGAACCAAGTTACAGTAAAAATTACAAGGACCCTATAAACTAAAGCAGAAAGTAACTATGATCAAAACACGTACTGAATTCATGTGTTGTCACCTTGGTCGAAAAAAGAGAATGCAGATCTTTGTCGGTGTTGTGGCTGAGATATTGTTTGTAACACTGTGTGACTATGATCGGAGGAAAAATTAATTGCGTTTTCCGATATAAATACCTGGATTGGACAGTAAAAGTAAAATTTCAACACTTTTTTAACACGATTAACACGATAATATCAAAATGGCAAATGAATGGATTAATTGGATCGAAGAAGCTATTGTTAAAGAACATTTAAAATATTATGAATACAATCAATTTAATGACATTCAACAAATTGGTAGCGGAGGTTTCGGAAAAGTGTACCGTGCAAAGTGGAAAAATTTTGAACATTTAGCGTTAAAATCTTTTATTAATCCTGAAAGCAACACCGTGAAAGAAATTGTTCGTGAGGTAATTATGAAATACGTAATGCATTTTCAATATTTCTATAACTTTTACTCTTTATTGTAATATTTAATATTCAAATTTACATAATTTAGATTAAATTACAACGAGATGCAGATTATAGTAATAATATTATTCGCTTCCATGGAATATCAAAATTTAAGTCAGGTATTATGAATATTATTTAATGATAACAAATTTATTGTAATATTCAAATTCAATTTAATATTTATTTCTTTTGTTCTTTAGAAAATCGTATGAACTATATGTTAGTAATTGAATATGCAGACGGTGGTACTCTTAGAAACTATTTGAAGAAAAGTTTTACTGATCTTACTTGGAATAATAAATACAATTTGGCGTACCAGTTAGCTTGTGGTGTATCATGCTTACATAATGAAGGAATTGTCCATAATGACTTGGTAATTATTTATTATTATTTAATCATTTTAATAGTAATGTTATATTTGCATTTACTTTAATATATACATTTTTAATAGCACTCGTGCAATGTATTAGTCCATCAAAACACGATCAAATTGGCAGATTTTGGATTATCAAAAAGAATTGGAACATCATCCCATTTCCAATCCAAATTATTTGGAGTGATTCCTTATGTTGATCCAAAAAGATTTATCAGGGGAAGAAGAAACAATAATAATCAATCAACACAAATGTATTCATTAAATGAAAAGAGCGATATTTACAGTATCGGCGTATTATTATGGGAAATATCTAGTGGACAACGTCCTTTTTATGTTGAAGATGAAGAATATGATATTGGATTAGAACTGGAAATTTCACAAGGCTTTAGAGAAACGCCTGTTACTGGTACACCCGAAGATTATGTAAATCTTTATACTAGTAAGTTAAATTTTAAGCTTTAAATAAATAAATATTAATTAATCTTAAATTATATATATATTTTTCTTAGAATGTTGGGACGGTGAACCGGATAATCGTCCAACCATATATCAAGTAGTTGATTGGTTAAAAACAAATGTGCCAGATAATTTTGAAAGCCAGACTAACGAAAATACAAATGAACGGATCGATTGGATTGAAAAAGCTATTGAAGAAGAATATTTACAATATTATGATTATAAACAATTTAGTGATATTCGACAAGTTGGTACTGGAGGTTTTGGAACAGTTTTCCGTGCAAATTTGAAAAATTCAGAGCAACAATTCGCGTTGAAATCTTTTAAACTTAACAATACATCTAAGGAAGAAATTATTAATGAGGTGATATCTATATATCTATATATATTCTTTTAGTCTATTATTTTTTAGTATATTATATTTATTTTAAAAATTTGAATCTATTTATTTAGTTAAAAATTTTACTTAAAGTTGATTTTCATAATAATATTATTCGTTTTTTTGGAATAACAAAATCTGAATCAGGTCATTCTTTAGAAAATCATAATAATAAAAATTATATGTTAGTAATGGAGTACGCGGATGGTGGTAATCTTCGCTCTTATACACATCTAGATGTGTATAAGAGACAGAAAGTGTACCGCGCAAATTGGAAAAATACAAAAAAACAATTAGCGTTAAAAACTTTTTTTAATCTTAATTATGTCACCATGAAAGAAATTGTTCGTGAGGTAATTATGAAATACGTAATGCATTTTCAATATTTCTATAACTTTTACTCTTTATTGTAATATTTAATATTCAAATTTACATAATTTAGATTAAATTACAACGAGATGCAGATTATAGTAATAATATTATTCGCTTCCATGGAATATCAAAATTTAAGTCAGGTATTATGAATATTATTTAATGATAACAAATTTATTGTAATATTCAAATTCAATTTAATATTTATTTCTTTTGTTCTATATTAGAAAATCATAATAATAAAAATTATATGTTAGTAATGGAGTACGCGGATGTGGTAATCTTCGAAGCTATTTGAAGAATAATTTTAGTAATCTTACGTGGGATGATAAATACAATTTAGCATACCAGTTAGCTCGTGGTGTATCATGCTTACATAGTAAAGAAATTGTGCATTGTGATTTGGTAAGATACGTTATTTAGTTATTAATAGCATTTTATTACTTTAACTGTTAAAGAATAAATTACTTATTTAATATATTTTTTTTAATAGCACTCCGGAAATGTATTAGTCCATCAAAAAGGGATTAAATTAGCAGATTTTGGATTGTCAAAAAAGATTGGAACATTATCCAATCTTCAAGGTGAAATATTTGGGATAGCTCCTTATATTGATCCAAAAATCTTTATCAGACGGAGAAACAACAATAATCAATCAACACAAATGTATTCATTAAATGAAAAAAGTGATGTTTACAGTGTTGGCGTATTATTATGGGAAATTTCTAATGGACAACCTCCCTTTTATGTTGAAGGTGAACGATATGATATTGGTTTAATTCGTGAAATTTCACAAGGTCTTAGAGAAACCGTTGTTCCCGGTACACCTGAAAATTATGAAAATATTTATACAAGTAAGCAAATTTTAAATTTAATTATTTAAATATTATTTATTATATTTATTTATTTATTTTTTTAGAATGTTGGGATGGTGAACCAGAAAATCGCCCAACCATAAATCAAGTAGTTGATTGGTTAAAAGCGATCATCACAAAAACAAACGAGGGTCTTCAATCATCAAACAAACAAGACGATGTTACGGCCCCTCAAAGTACTAATGATGAATCAGAACTACATATCTCTAATAAAAATTTTACCCGAAAGGAATTTAGCATAAATACATAATACTGTAATTAATGAAAGTATAACTTTATTTTAGGCTATTAAATAAAGAAATTGAATAGAAATAACAAGCCATTTATTTAAGGATTAGGGATGACAATAATAAATAGTTATTATAACTGGTCATTAAACTACAATTATTGATAACAAATTAGGCTTTTATGTAAGATACTTTTTAAATTTATTTTAAAACTAGTCGTTGAACCCGTTGCGATAAAAAACGTTACTGTCATACAGGAAAACACTTTCTTCATGTGTTTCACTCTTTATCTTTATAGCTTTGTTCTTTTGTTTGCTATTGTCTTGTATTTTTTTGTGTACAGTACCATAATTACTAGTCCTGTTAAAAATTAATAAAGTATGAATTTGATAGTTTTTTCTAATTAATAAACTTTAATTAAATGTTTTTAAACCATTATAGTACAGAAAAAATTTTGCGAATAAAAAAGTGTTGCAAATTTTTAACGAAAATTGACCAATCAAAATTGATTGGCAAAAAAACCATGTAAAATATAAATTTTTAGGGGGTTGATTTAACCCTGGGTTATTTAACTCTGAGCAAAACTTTTTTTTATAGACTAAATTACATTTAACTATAAGTAATAAATGGCCAGAAGTGGTAATATTAAGGTGAAGGTGAAACACAAACGATAGCTAGAAAAAAAACCTGAATTTCAAATTAATATTTTATAAAAGACTATTCAGTATATTGAGAATATATTCTTTTTCGTCCTTTGTTCTTCCATCACCCTTTTTTAGTTCTTTCAATTCGCCTATTTTGTCATTTAACTTTTTTGTTAAATCTTCAATATCCTTTTCTATTTGTTCTTTAGCTGTATAATTATTGGTATTATTGCTATTCAGATAAAAAGAGATTAATGTATTGACTTTTTCAGGTTTTTCATTAAAATGGTTAACTAATCTAGTAAAAGATATAGTACAAATTCCAAAGGCTATTTTTGTAGTAATAAGGTTGGTGCTAATTAAATATCCCGATATAATAGCTGGATAAACAATTAATGTAATTATATTGATATGTTTTAAAATACTTGTGAACCATCTCAAAATTTTATTTTCACGTTTGTGTAGTTTGTATAATCTTGCTTTATAACAGATATAAATCAGCTGTAAAATGTGTAATCCGATACTACAAACATATACTATGATATTTGCTATCCTCAAACTGTTGCATTTGTTAACTCCAAAGATTTTTGTGCAATAATTACTTACGTATTTAATGTCAACGTTTGAAACACCATTATCCTCAAGATCACCTTTGACGAAGGTGGTATACCCAAAAACTGGTATAATGGTTAGTATTATAAAGAAGAAACAAACTAAAATTTCATTAACTAGTATATGTTTTATTTTCCTCCCATCTTCATTGTTTTCTCTCTCATTATCTTTATTTTCATTTGCTTCATCAAGACTTATACTTGTTTCATCATTTCTTTCCTCTTCTATTTTTTTTTTCTTTTCTTCGTTTTTTTGTTCGTTGTTTTCATTTTCTTTAACTCCAATTATTTTGCTTTTGTATCGAATAAACAAGAAAAAGCTGTATGAAATTATTCCAAATATTGCTGCAATGATGTAAATTCTAATAACCATTATTTTGTTAGACTTAGTATAATATTGATACCATTCAAATGCTGTGATCAAAGGGTATATGGTAATAGACGCAAATATGACAAAATCATCAAATATATTTATCATGGATATTATCTTTTTTTTATCATCTTCAAAACCATTAAACAGACCAAATATCAATACTGGAAGTAATCCAGTGAGAATTGAATTAATTGTTTCTTCAGCTGGATTATATGGAGTATCATTTGATGACATTTTTAAATTTTGAATGAAGATAGTGTAAATACAATTTTTTTTTTTTGTTTGAAATTTCTTTATGTGTGATTTCTGTTATTTATTGTTTTTTTTCGTAAAATTTAATTTTGCCATTTATATTAAACATAATAAAATGCAAAACGTAAAAATATAGTTGTATTCCTGATCAGCATAAAATTATCTTATAATGAAATTTAAGTTTTTTGATAACATTTTCGATTTTTCAGTTTTTTATTTGTCCAAAAAATTTATCATTTTCTCTAATTTCAAATGTTAATAATAATAAGTTTTTACGCTAAAAAAAATTTAATGAATGTCAAATTCGAAATTCGTAATAATATCGGAGGATTTTATAATATACTTTTTATTCATTGACTTATCTTATTTGTCCCTATGCCAAGTTTGTTAAAAACTTTGTTTCTAAAAAAACTAAACATTTTTGGTGAGAAAATAAATTATGTCGAAATTTTCGAAATGCAAACCTTACGATTTTTCAACTTTCTGTAAAAGGCAATTTTGAAATAAAGGTTTGTCAAACGCAATCATATTTACATTTTACATTAATGATTCACAAAGTTTTACGCCAAAATTCCATTTTAAGAAAAAAAAGAATCAATTAAAAAAAATGAGAAGACCAAAATATTGAAAGGCTAACATAATGAATCCAAAAAAAGTAGTTTATTTGGTTTTTTATTCTTACACCATTTTTTGGAGTGATCGGATTTGCTGTAATAACACAATACCAACTGATTGCGAACAATATGAACCTTGGTATTTAAAAATTAATTCCCTGTTGCACTAAGTGTCACTCATGATCACCTTCATACTAATTTTTAAAAATTGCGAGTGATTAGCTGAGTTTATAAATGACCGGGAATCTTCGTTTAGTTATTCCCGGTCTCATATAGATAGCCGGGAAATTACTAATTTTAGTTTAAAATAGTTAAAATAGTTAATATTTAATGAGTGACACGCTCCAGGGGATTACCCATTTATTTCCTGGGAAGGGAAAACAATAGGGCTTTTTTCCCGAAGGGAAAAAAACCCTATTATTTCCAACTCCCCGTGAAATAAATAATACTAATCCGAATGATAAAATTCCTGCTATTACTGTTCATAGTAAAGAAAGATTTTCATGTATTTGAAAGTGATGCGATTGTGAACTATTATTACCAAAGGAACCTAAATTAAAAAGTCAAGTTATTTAATGGGTAAATATTTTATTTTATTCACACAAAAAAAATTGAATTTTATATAAATGATAGGTTATGTTCGAAGAGGGATGTCTTGGGCGTACACAAGAACAATATTAGGTACTCACTAGAAAAAGTTCCACCATTAAACGATAACCAAATGATATTACTCCGTTTTGAACAAATTTTTGGAAGGAAAGATTATTTAGTAGGGGATAGATTTACTTTGGCGGATTCTGTGTTATCCTTAGGTCAGATCTCATTTTATTTCTGGTATAGAAAGTATTGATGAATTTACAAATTTAACAGCCTGGATCGCACGTATTGAAGCAAGGCCTGCTATTCGAAAAGGTTTAAATGTATAGAGTTAAAGAATTTCATGAGAATGAGAAATATGGAAGAGTTTGCTAAGTTTTATATGTTATCTATCGATCACGATCACGCGTTTAACATTCTTTTTTTGTAACATTTTGTAACATTATACAAAGAAAATATGTTACTTTATAAAAATGGTTATAATTTGAAGAAGATTGGGTTGGGTTTAAGATGAGATGAAGTTGATGTTGGTATTCTTTAGCTACTTGACACGATCATCTGGATATCAGTCATTAACACATTTTAAATAAAAATATACACAATGTACTTTGTCTCTCATTTTTTAAAATAAATAAATATTATTAAATAGATTAAATGTACACAAATGTATTTGACCCACATTTTTTATAGTCTTGATTATTATTAAATAGAATAAATGTACACAATGTATTTATTTATCCCACGTTTTGAATAATTAATATTAATGTACACAATGTAAAATACTTATACTTAACCCACATTTTTATTATATAAATTAAAATGTACACAATGTACACTAATACCACGAATTACAAAATGACTGATAGTAGAAAAGGACAGTCAATTTGCTCGATATTTCACATGCTAATCAATTTTACTCTCACGCGTTGAGATAAAAAAGATCAAAATCTAAAAAGGATATATACATTTTTCAATGGTTGTTATTTAGTCAAGTTTATTTATCTGCTTTTTTTAAAGTAGCAAAAAATAGTAAAATATTACCGTTATTCGCAATACATTAACTTTCTTGATTTGTACCCTACACAAACGCTAGTTAAATTACGTACTGGGTTTTTTAGGGGTTTTAGCCAAAATTAGATGGGAAGTACGTAATTTCAGAATTTTGTAAAAAGGAGGAAGAATTTTCATTTTCTATTATGAATATCAAATAGGATAAAGAAGAAAGTAGCTTTAGGAAAAGAATTGTCATTATGACATATTGTCAATCGTAAATATAGAAAATGCATGTATAAGTAACCTTTAATAGATAAATTAAACGATTTACTCCATCATTACGTAATCATAGATCGAGAGTTATAAAAAAAAAAAAATTCTTTTTTTTTTTTTTTGGGGTAAAACCTGGTATCATTCTTGAAGAATTAGGAATTCCTTATAAAGTAAAAAATATTGAATTGAGAAAGAATCAACAATATGAACCTTGGTTTTTAAAAATTAATCCGAATGGGAAAATTCCTGCAATTGTTGATCATAGTAAAGATGATTTTCCTGTATTTGAAAGTACCGCAATTGCCATTTATCTTTGTGAAAATTATGATCCTGAAGAAAAATTATTACCAAAGAATGATCCTAAATTAAGAAGTCAAGTTATTCAATGGGTGAATATTTTTTATTCACATAACAAAATTTGATTAACTAAAAAAAAAAAAATTAAAACTTTTTATCAAAATATTAGGTTATGTTCGAAGCGTCAGGAATTGGACCTACGCAAGGACAATCCAACTTTTATTGTAGGTTCAACCCAGAAAAAGTTCCATTCGCCATTAATAAATGTGCCAATGAAATCAAAAGAATTTACGGAGTTTTGAATAAATCATTGGAAGGAAAAGAATATTTAGTAGGAAATAAATTTACATTGGCGGATGCCATGAGTTATCCTATGGTCAGAGGGCATTTTTTTTCTGGAGTAGAAAGTATTGATGAATTTCCAAATTTAAAAGCTTGGATCGAACGTATTGATGCAAGACCAGCAACTCAAAAAGGGTTAAATGTACCAGTTCCTGATAAAATGAAAGAATTTCAGGAAAATCCAGAAAAATTGGAAGAATTTGAAAAATTAATGCACATTTATTTCAAAGATCGATTTAAAATTTGATAACAAGATGAATTCAATTTATTGTATACTTTATCATAAATAAAATAAAGTTTGTTATTGATTTGAATTTTGTAATGTTAAACAATGGCAAGTGACGATAGTGATGCAAAAATCATTAAATAAAAAAAAATTAAATGATACAAATAAAATTTATTAATAATTAATTAAAATTTCCTTAATCTTAATAAGGATAAACATTAAATTTAAGGAAATAATAATGGATAAATATACAAAATTTCATCATTTTTCGTAATAATTTATATATACATATAAAGTATTTATGTAACCAACGATGAAACGAAAAATTAATTGTACCACAAAGGTTAATTGAATCCCGTGACTTTTTTTTTACACGCGCCAAAAAAAAAAAAAAAAAAAANAACCAATGATGAAACGAAAAAAAATTAATTGTACCACAAAAGTTAATTGAATCCCGTGACTTTTTTTTTTCACGCGCCAAAAAAAAAACGGTTATACCATACCTAAATGTACTTATTCCTGATGAGAATCCTGAAAATTGGAAGAATTTGCTAAATTAGTTTAAAGTTTTATACGCACGTAATAGTCGTAATATGCGATCACGCGATTTATATTGATCACGCGATTAACATTCTTTTTTTGTAACATTATACAAAGACGCGTGAATGTTGATACAATGTTACTTTATAAAAAAAAAATGAAGAATTAAGATTGGTTTAAGGTGAGATGATCAGATGAAGTTGGTGATGGTGTTCTTTAGCTACTTGGCACGATCATCCGGATATCAGTCATTACATTTTAAATAAATAAATATTTTAAATGTACACAATGCACTTGTCTCACATTTTTTAAAATAAATAAATAAATATTATTAAATAGATTAAATGTACACAAATATATTTGACCCACATTTTTTATAGTCTTAATTATTATAAATGTACACAATGTATTTATTTATCCCACGTTTTGAATAATTAATATTAATGTACACAATGTAAAATACTTATCCTACTTAACCCACATTATTATTATTATTATTAAATAAATTAAAAATGTACACAATGTACACTAATACCACGAATTACAAAATGACTGACTAGTAGAAAAGGACAGTCAATTTGCTCGATATTTCACATGCTAATCTCACGCAAAAACTGCGCGTTGGGATAAAAAAGATCAAAATCTAAAAAGGATATATATACATTTAATGGGTTATTGTTATTTAGTCAAGTTTATTTATCTGCTTTTTCAAGTAGCAAAAAAATAATAAAATATTACCGTTATTCGCAGTACATTAACTTTATTGATTTGTACCTTACATAAACGCTAGTTAAATTACGTACTAGGTTTTTAGGGGTTTTAGCCAAATTAGATGGGAAATACGTAATTTTAGAAAGGAGGAAGAATTTTCATTATCTATTATGAATATCCAAATAGGATGAAGAAGTGAGTAATTTTAGAAAAAGAAAGTAACCTTTAATAGATAAATAGATAAATTAAACGATTACTACATTATTACGTAATCACAGATCTAGAATTAATATAAAGAATCAAAAAAAAAAAATTTATTTTTTTATCACAAAAAAAAAAAGAAAAAATGACTACTAGTCCTGATATTACTCTTTATACTACCGGAGGTCAAAATGGGGGAAAACCTAGTATCATTCTTGAAGAATTAGGAATTCCTTATAAAGTAAAAAATATTGAATTGAGAAAGAATGAACAATTTGAACCTTGGTTTTTAAAAATTAATCCGAATGGGAAAATTCCTGCTATTGTTGATCATAGTAAAGATGATTTTCCTGTATTTGAAAGTACCGCAATTGCGATTTATCTTTGTGAAAATTATGATACTGAAGAAAAATTATTACCAAAGAATGATCCTAAATTGAGAAGTCAAGTTATTCAATGGGTAAATATTTTATTCACAAAAAAAAAAATTTGATTAAAAAATTAAATTTTTTATCAAAATATTAGGTTATTTTCGAAGCGTCAGGAATTGGACCTGCGCAAGGACAATCCAACTTTTATTGTAGATTTAACTCAGAAAAAATTCCATTCGCCATTAATAAATGTGCCAATGAAATCAAAAGACTTTACGGAGTTTTGAATAAATCATTGGAAGGAAAAGAGTATTTAGTAGGAAATAAATTTACATTAGCGGATGCCATGAGTTATCCTATGGTCAGAGGGCATTTTTTTTCTGGAGTAGAAAGTATTGATGAATTTCCAAATTTAAAAGCTTGGATTGAACGTATTGATGCAAGACCAGCAACTCAAAAAGGGTTAAATGTACCAGTTCCTGATAAAATGAAAGAATATCGGGAAAATCCAGAAAAATTGGAAGAATTTGAAAAATTAATGCAAAGTTATTTCAAAGATCGACTTAAAATTTGATAACAATCACGCATGACCAATGAATTCAATTTATTGTATACTTTATCATAAATAAAATAAAGTTTTGTTATTTCAAAAGATTTGAATTTTGTAATAAGTTTAATAAATGTTAAACAATGGCAAGTGACGATAAGTGACGATAGTGATGCAAAAATCATTTAATAAAAAAAAATTAAATGATACAAATAAAATTTATTAATAATTAATTAAAATTTCCTTAATAAGGATAAGCATTAAATTTAAGGAAATAATAATGGACAAATATATAAAATTTCATCATTTTTCGTAATATACATATAAAGTATTTATGTAACCAACGATGAAACGAAAATTAATTGTACCACAAAGGTTAATTGAATCCCGTGACTTTTTTTTTCACGCGCCAAAAAAAAAACGGTTATACCATACCTAAATGTACTTATTCCTGATAGAGTTAAAGAATTTCGTGAGAATCCTGAAAAATTGGAAGAATTTGCTAAATTAGTTTAAAGTTTTATACGCACGTAATAGTCGTAACATGCGATCACGCGATTAACATTCTTTTTTTGTAACATTATACAAAGACGCGTGAATGTTGATACAATGTTACTTTATAAAAAAAAAATGAAGAATTAAGATTGGTTTAAGGTGAGATGATCAGATGAAGTTGGTGATGGTGTTCTTTAGCTACTTGGCACGATCATCCGGATATCAGTCATTACATTTTAAATAAATAAATATTTTAAATGTACACAATGCACTTGTCTCACATTTTTTAAAATAAATAAATAAATATTATTAAATAGATTAAATGTACACAAATGTATTTGACCCACATTTTTTATAGTCTTAATTATTATTATATAGAATAAATGTACACAATATAATGTATTTATTTATCCCACTTTTTGAATAATTAATGTACACAATTTACTTTACCCAAATTTTTATTATTATTATTTAAATAAATTAAAATGTACACAATGTACACCACTAACACCACGAATTACAAAATCACTGACTAGTAGAAAAGGACAGTCAATTTACTCGATATTTCACATGCTATAATTAATTTACTCTCACGCAAAAAACTGCGCGTTGAAATAAAAAGATCAAATCTAAAAAAGGATATATATACATTTAATGGTTATTTGTCTGCTTTTTTTCAAGTAGCAAAAAATAGTAAAATATTACCGTATTCGCAGTACATCTAACTTCATTGATTTGTACCCTAGTTAAATTACTGGGTTTTGAGCCAAATGGGATGGGAAATACGTAATTTTAGAATTTCTTTAGTTTGATTGAAAGAATTTTCATTATCTATTATGAGTATCCAAATAGGATGAAAAGAGTAACTTTAGGAAAAGGATTGCCATTATGAATGTA